TGATTCAGTAAGCTTGGAATCGACAAGGTGAGCGAAACCTGATCCGCAGATGGATAAATGAATAATCTTCGTAGCTTGAAGACATCCAAGGACTGGGTGTTGGAAGAGATTACCTTTGATCTATGACTTCAGCCCTGAAATCACGTCGTTATCCCCACGAAATGCAGTAACTTGAATCCCATGGATAACATTGGAGAGCGTCCAACGAATTAAAATAAGACAGCAAGTTGTTTCAACTCATCTCTAGGTCTCTGAGTACTTACCTCTAGCTGGCAGAGAAGGAGTCAAGAAAGAACCACCTGAGAATAAAAAATATACAGGTCTAGAGTTTTTGACGTGGATGATTGAAAATATCTATCTCTGATTCATTCTTCGTGCACGGAGCGTTGGCTTGTAGAACTGGACGAATCGACTCCAGATTATACCTTGCAGTGCCATTTAACCAGAGAGATGTCGTCAGTCGATCTCACCTCCGATTGGACTATAGTCTATACAATCTACCATCGAACATTTCGACATTATATCTTAAGCAGACTCAAGGTTATTTTGTCATAACTATAACGATGCTGCTCTTGACTCTCATTATATAAGGACATTGACCCCTCTCTGTATATATCTTGTAAAATAATATCAATCTTTTGATAGAATAACGTTTCAAGAGCTCCTAGCTCTAGGGTAACAGACGCTCAAAGAGCAAGTTGTGAAAGTGGAGAACTTGGATTAGGGACAACGGAGCCAGTATACTTATTTTTAACGCCAAGTTTTAACAAATGCTTTTGGTTAGCCGGTTACTAATTATGGACTAGCCCCATTTTGTAAATCCTCTTTATTCTTTCCCTCGCCCCATCTTATGATTTTATATAATAGCTGAGTTTAGCACCCACCGCATATATTTTACAAATCTTAGATCTACCATATATAACTCAACCCTGGGTGCCGCTCGCGATTATTTCTCTTAGCTTCCACACCGATAAAGCATTTCGTAATACACCTTTTGTCCACTCTATCCCAAGCTAAATAGACTAGCTTAGGTACGAGAGCACCCGTCTGACTCCTACCTCCTGGTCAAGACCAAATCCTTCAGATATACATGCGGAACCCTTAGCTTTCGTTAAGAATGGTGTAGCGGAGATTATAAAATGGCCAAGCACGCGTTCAAACATTTACCTACACTAGAATGGACAATATTAATCATTAAACCCGACACCTCCAGGCGGGACTTTGGGGGCACGGTTTAAACAATGACACAGCACCCGGAGCTCTTCTTCTCCGAGGCTGCGGCTGGAGCGGACTGCTTGGCTCTGGCCTCGGCCTTAGGCTCGGCGGCAGCAACAGGAGCGGCTGATTCAGCCTGGACGGCCTTCTGTTCGGCGATTGGGGCTGCCTTCGCAGCGTCTGCCGCAGAATCAGCCGAAACAAACTTCGCAGCGGTCACCGCAAAGTCTCGCCCCTGCTGCTCAGCCACCTTCAACTCAACCCCACTGGCAACCCTGGAGCCATCCACCCCGGCAAACATGCCAGCACCGTACGGACTCCCACCTCTGATCTCCTCTAAACTAGCCACGTCGCCAAACACAGTCTTGTAGCCCAACGGCACGTACACCATCCCGTGGTGGGTAATAGTCGACAAGAAGCTGCGCACCGTCGTCTCCTGGCCACCACCCTGGCTCCCAGTTGACACAAAGAGCGAAACTGGCTTGCCGTGGAGGGCACCGGACCCCCAGAGGCCGCCAGTGGTGTCCCAAAAGGTGGACCATTGCGCCGGCATGGTCCCAAACCGGGTTGGCACACCGAAAACAAAGGCGTCGTATTCGACGAGCGTAGCAGTAGAGGCAAGTGGGAGCGTAGGCTTTTCCGGAGCGTGGATTGCAGCGAGAACTTCCGGTGTGAGAGTCTCTGGGACCTGGAAGAGGTCAACCTGGACGGAAGGAGCCGCCTGGCGGATTCCCGCGGCGACGGCCTCGGCGAGGGTCGTGATGTGGCCGTAAGTGGAATATTGGATGATAGCGATCTTCATAACGGGAGCAAGGTTGGCAGGACGTATAATATCGAAGAAGGAGCAGTAAAATGGCCAATTGAGAGAAGAGACGTGGTTATATGGGAAACGGGGCAGGTACGGGTATGTTGATTATGTTGCGCTGCTAAATTAGTAATGCGCGCAGGTTGCGCCGCATGGCTATGCAGGACATGCAGAATTTGTCATAGGGAAAGACAGCCGGGTTGGTGCTTAGTAATTCCGGTAGGAGATAGAGGATGGGGAGCCGGCGACACCTTGGGATGTAAAAATCAACTGGAGGGTATGAGTGAAGATGATATCTGTGTGTGTTTTAAGGGGGAGTGTTGAGGAAGCGAACATTGTGTGTAAGTGAGAGAAAGACGTGCCTGGTGCAAAGGTGGCTGTACCTCTTTTTTGCTCACTAGTGTTTCCGTGTTCACCGCTCTCCTCAGCTGGGATCAATGGGTAATGTAGAGGAAAATGTAGGATCGGAAACACCAGTAGTGAGGTTATAAACGCTTTGAGCGGAGAGCTGGGTTGGGTAGATTGCCCTTTTATTGATAAGGCGGCCCAGCCAACTTGGAATGGTGGGTTTGAGCCCATCAAGAGATTGGCCAAAGAGAAAATGCCACGATCGGGGGTGTGGAGGAGGGTTGTCGTAATTGATCGTATACTCTGTGCCGAGTTTCTGAGAATTTCCGGGTTGATTGGCAGAGTAAGGGGTACCGGTTAACTTAAGTTACCACTCGGTTGGCATTTTGGGTGTCATAGGTTGTTTAATATGGCTCAAGGCTGAAGCTTTCCTCTTGAAATGGAAAATTTTAAAACCGTAATCTACTTACCTCCAATCTAAGGGGAACCCCCTAAAAGTTCACATGAAATTTTCCTCAAACGAATATTTTCAGTTTTAGATCCTAGTCGAGTAGTTGATCCGGAAATTTTTCATAAAACCACATCGTCATGGTAAGATCCAGCATTTTTGTGGGTTCTGTTTTCCACCACATCGCTAATGGAGATAATAACCACCTACATCATTTTTTGTCTTTGTAAACCCTAGGACAAGATGGGTCACCTAGTACAAGATTTGCCTGCTTTGGGTGAATGTATACCACACGGTCTACTGAGCGAGATAATTATCCGAAAAAACGATTTCTCCGCAGCAACCAATAGAAGCCGTATGTTTTACGTTACACCTGTGGCTCGTGATGAAAAGCACAATTGGGTATAAACGAGCACCTTGACAAAACTTATGTACATGTGAATAAATCATATTTGCTGACACAAGATTTGAAGCGCAATTTTGGCAGACGTGTTTTCTTCTTGGATCTTTCGCGTCCGTCTCGGAACTATACATATGCATGACAAAATCTTAGTAAGAGCGAAGGGATCTGCACAGAACTTGCGCAAAAATAACCTTCTTCCTGCGTAAAATTCGGTTATTGAGACGCGTGGAAACCCCAGTAGAGATACACTACAATCAGAATGAGAACCATTTGTAAAACTTTTTTTCATCATGCCGCTTCGTCGAGAGGGTAGATTACCGGTGATAAATTCCATTGGGGTACTATTGGCCTGTGTCTGACGGTCCAATTGCCAACAGGGTATTTTTAGCTTTTCTGTTTCACGTTTACGCGCGTTGACACTGCCTCATTACGCATGGGTTCGAGATATCCTCGATATTAGCATGACATCTGGTGCAGTCGCTATCAACTGTACCCACGTTGCAAGGTCATTTCCACTGCCTTATGTGAGGTGCTAATATCACTAATGTCCTTCCGGGCATATCTGGGTTTGCTCTATAGAGGCTGGACTTGTAACAGTTTCGTCAGAACTTACAACTTTTACCCTGAATTGACTTTGCCTTTATGTTGCGCATTCTCAATTTGTCGCACGAAAACATGGCGATTTACGGAAACAAGATAAATCTATTTCTCGGCCAGCCACTACCATCTATAGTTGGAAGTTGGTTCTACCTGTCACGCTATCTTTGTAAAGATTGAGATATGACGATACGCTCCAAGACTTTTTTACCATACTCTGACACCGGTATCACCTGGCTTACCAAGTATCGGGCTAGTAAGCACATATCTGTTAAGTCAAGTTTACGTGCATAAGTTCCATAAGTGAACGGATTTGTCATCTGCGTACCCCGGATTATTAATCAGATGATATAAATATCAGATGACATAAACATCAGATCCTTTATAAGTCTGATGTCGGAATCACAGGTGTTCCGTTCCGAAACGTAGAACACTGGATCTCGAGGCCAGCTCATGCAACAACTAAAAATGCGTCATGAAAATCTCTCCTTGTCCACTACGGCTCCCGTAGAGCCATCCATTTTTCCTCGGTTGAACTACACATAGAACTATGCATTTCGTGGGAGATTCAAGTCTATATGTCTATTCAATTGGAGCGTATCTGGTAAGGGTAGCCATTGGCTAACGTCTTGGTTGTTTTACACGCTATATGAGCAAGAGGACGAGGATCTAACCGTATCGGTCTGGAAAAGATCCGGACAAGCCGAAGGAGTTTAGCGACGCACAATGTGTAAACCTCTAACACGTCAACGGCGCTTATAACGAAAAAGGTTTAATGCGAACAGTAATAGTGTAAGCTTATTCGGTTAACCCGTATTTTATGCGGAATGCCAGGTTTCGCGGCTGCACTATCAGAGAGAAAGGCATGGGCTGGCAAATCCGGGTCTGAGCTGATCCGGATTATAATCCAGCTTCATGCTTTGTCACCCAGTGAGCCCACCGTTGTCGTACGAACAACTCCATAATCACACCGTGTTTGAAAACCACCCGTTTGAACTCCCGCCAACACGCTTGTGTTCTCCACATTACTAATTTTTACTCAGATGCGGCTTGGTTGATCAGGCAGACATACGTGCATGCGTGGTCGCCATTTGCGGCCACTATGTGCATATGCCGGATGAATTTACGTAATTCTTAACAAATCCCCTTTGCTCCAGTGCATGCAACTCGATGCTTCCCTCCCCTTATAAATACGCTGGCACTTTCCCCCCTTCATCCCTTCTCCTTTCTCCTTATCCACACAATCACACACAATGGCTCCAAGAACTGCTATCATCATCTACTCCATGTACGGCCACATCGCCAAGATGGCCGAAGCCGTCAAGGTCGGCATTGAATCCGCCGGTGGTTCTGCCGAGATCTTCCAGGTCCCAGAAACCCTTTCTCCGGAAATCTTGAGCAAGATGCACGCCCCAGCCAAGCCAGACTACCCAGTTGCCTCCACTGAGACCTTGACCTCATATGAAACGTTCGTGTTTGGGATCCCAACCCGTTTCGGTAACTTCCCAGCCCAGTTCAAGACCTTCTGGGATGCCACCGGTGGTCTCTGGGCCTCTGGTGCCCTCCACGGTAAGGCCGCCGGTGTCTTCACTTCCACCGGTACCCAGGGTGGTGGTCAAGAGACCACTATCTTGAACTCCTTGTCCGTCTTAGTCCATCACGGTATTGTGTTCGTTCCATTGGGTTACAAGAACACGTTCGGCCAGTTATCCAACTTGGAAGAGATCCACGGTGGTTCTCCATACGGCGCTGGTACCTTTGCCGGTGCTGACGGCTCCAGACAGCCAACCAAGTTAGAGTTGGAAGTGGCCGAGATCCAGGGTAAGGTGTTTTACGAGACGGTCAAGAAGTTTTAAGCTGCTGGAGGTAAGCAGATTGCGTATATAGCAATAGATACCGTGTATTCAGAAGAGATTTGTAGGATAGTGGGGAGTTTGGGGGGAACAGAACATTTGTATCGTGCGTATTCAGGGTTGAGGTTGGTTTATGTGTATACTTAAGCTTGTTTTCAACAAAACGTCTGTTTAGGTTCTATCGCTTAACGTGTCCGCATGTTGGCTTACAATATTTGTATGGTACGGCTCCGATACCTTTCCTACACCGTATCCTTTCCGTACAGGACGGCCATAATATGTTTGCCGTGGGCAAGTTAAAGTTCTCCCATACATATGTCAGACCTGGTTCATTACAACTAGACCTATAAAGGTTGCTGTATCATTAAAAACCAGCCTCTTGTGAGGCTGTCGATGGAAGGTGAAGCCGATAAAACCCCTACCTTTATAGAAAACTAGACCTAAAACACGCTTACTAATAGAGATCGAACATGTGCATAATTCTCTTTAATTACGGCCCGGCTTATTTCCGGTCAGGTTCCCGAAAACAAGCATTTACATATGATACACGTGACCACTTCTATACTTTTGGTACCGAACAGGGTTTACGAGCAACCGAATCCGATATGCAGGTCTATGTAGGTCTCTAATTTGCCGGACAAGTGAAAAATCCGCACATATAGTGGCATCGATCTTGACACATTGTCCCGTATAAATATTCTCTTTTTTTCCCCTACTCGTTGCCATTTCCGTTTTCCCAACCAAATCAAAAATGTCCAACTACCCAGCCGAATTCCAAGGTTTTGCCGTCGAAGACGTTGCCCAGTGGGACCATCCAAAGCTTACCTCCTACCCACCAAAGGCCTTCCAGGACAACGATATCGATATCGAAATTGAATGCTGCGGTGTCTGTGGATCCGATGTCCACACCGTCAGAGGATCCTGGAGACCTTTGGCCAGCAGGGTTGTAGTGGGCCACGAAATCATTGGTAAGGTCATCAAGGTCGGTTCCAAGGTCACCCACCACAAGCTTGGCGACCGTGTCGGTGTTGGTGCCCAGGCTAAATCCTGTTTGGACTGTGTCCGTTGTAACACTGACAACGAACAGTACTGTAAAACCGCCGTTTTCACCTACAACTCGACCTATCCAGATGGATACATCTCCCAGGGTGGCTACGCTTCCCATGTCAGACTCCACGAACACTATGCTTTCCCAATCCCAGACGGCATCAAGTCGGAGCATGCCGGTCCGTTGATGTGTGGTGGTTTGACCGTCTACTCTCCGTTGAAGAGATTCTTGGATACTGCCCGTGCCACCAACGCTGACAAGGACGTTACCGTTGGTGTTGTTGGTATTGGAGGCTTGGGCTCTATGGCTGTGCAGCTCGCCAAGGCTTTAGGCTACACCAAGGTCTACGCCATCTCCCGTGGTACCTCCAAGAAAGAAGACGCCTTGAAGATGGGTGCTGACAGTTTCATTGCCACCGGTACCGAGAAGAACTGGCAGGGGTCTTACTCAGACACCTTTGACTTGATCTTGAACTGTGCCTCGTCTATCGCCGACTTGGACTTGTCAGCCTTCCTTTCCGTCATGAAGGTTGGTGGTAGCTTCACCTCGGTTGGGTTGGGTCCAGCCGATCAGTCCTTCTCCGTCTCTCCCCAAACCTTCTACAAGAACTCCTCCAACATGGGTTCCTCCCTTTTGGGGTCCAGACTCGAGTGTATCGAGATGTTAGACTTGGCTGTTAAGCACAATATTATTCCATGGGTTGAGGAAGTTCCTATCTCCGAATCCGGTGTCCACGAGGTGTTAACCAAGTGTGAAAACGGTGATGCCAGATATAGATACTGTTTGACCAACTTCCACGAAGCTTTCCAGACCGGTAAGAACTAGACGTTCATTGATAGATTGATATAAATTTAATAGCTTTTCACCAGGGGCTTGTCTGTGGGCTTGTAAGCATTAATAGGTTCCCGTAGGCTATTTAACGGCCGGGGAAAGACTCAGCACTTGAAGGATTGGATATAGATCGAAGCCTCATTTTGATATCAATGGGATCTGCTCTACTTCGATTTTTTTATGGACCCAACACCTTGTCAAACGTATATCCAAGCCTTACTGTTAGTACGCAAATCTAAAGTCCAATCTCTTGTTTCCCAAGTCCTTATTTGCCTCAGCATAATCCTCTTGTTCATCTTCCGACATTTTATTCCAAATGGATTCGCGGTACTGGTTTCTCCAGATATAGTATTGGCGGGTCCCAAGAAGAAGCGGAACCATACTGAAGGCAAACCCAAGCAATACCTTATTGCCCGTCTTGTACAGCGGCAGGTCACTGCCCCTGTAAACGTTAGACGCAATCACGCCTCCCATCTGAACGCTGATGTTGTACAAGGAAGCCGAAACGGTACGGCTTCTTACGGAGTTGGAGTTGGCAGAGCACCAGCTGACACAAACTGCGTGGATATACGGGTTTCCCAAAACCAAGGTTGTGATGATATAGATTCCCCATTTATGCATAGTTCCCAGCCACCAACAGAGCATAGCCATGAGAGGAACGGTGTAAAATGGCTGGAAAAGGGAGATAGATGCCCTCAGGTCAAATTTCACACTGAGCCAGGTAAAAACCAAGAGCAAGATAATGTGAAGAACCTGGTACGGAATCGCCAAAAGATTCGTCTGTAAGATTGTAAAGCCCAAGCCTCTCAAATTAATAGATAGATACCTTCCGAGGGTGTTTACTGGAACGTAGGCAATCAACCCAATGAGGTAAATTGGCCACAAATCGTAATCACTAATCCCCTTCCACAACGCCTTGAGGGATATTGCCTCTCTGTTGTGCATGTCGCCTTTAGAGGGGTCATTTCTTAATATCCGGTTGACCACTATTTTAACCTCCCGCTCGGTGAACCATCCCTCAGGCCTCCAGGGGGCTTTGGTCTCAACTGCTGACGGAACCATAAGAAAGAACGCAGCTATGCCAATACCAAGGGTGAAGGTCCCCTCGATTAAGAACAACCAGGCCCAGCCAGCTAGCCCTGCATATCCCCTTAGTCTTAGGATCCCTCCTGCCAAGAGCGAGGTGCAAATACCGGTGAGGGATAGCGTTGTCCAGAACCATGACAACCTCATTGGCAATTCGTCGGAGGTGTAGAAGTAGGACAACCACAACACCATCACCGGGATAAACCCGCCCTCGAGTAGGCCAAGTAGGAACCGGGTAGTGTAGAAACCCACTTTACCTTTTAGGGCAACCTGGGAAATGGCCACAAGGGACCAGGCAACCATCTGGAAGGGAATCCACCTATCAGGGCCCAATCTCTTGGATACCAACTGTGACGGCAACTCTGCCATCAAAAAGGCCACCAAGAAGAGAGTGTTGCCAGTGTTGTAGTCATCTGTGGTGAGGTTGAGGTCGTCTAGAAATCCGTCAGAGGTGGCTTGGCCTAAGTTACCTCGGTCAATCTGTAGGGCCACGAACATGAAGCATGCTAAGGCAGCTACCCGAAGGTCTAATTTCCGTACCAAACGAGACTCTTCTTCGGGAGTCCATTCCATGTGTGGATCAAATTCATGGCGGCATTCGTACTGACAATTTTCATAAACGGCGCGGTAATGCTCTTCCACGGTTGGGTCCAAGAAGGGGTTGGTATCCACCTGAGAATCTACCAGGAAAACCTGCACTCTGAAACTCTTGTTTTTGCGGTAGGTCAACCCATCAGATGCTAGCAAACGAGTTTGTTCGTCAGACTGGAGAAAAACTGGAGACTTTCGATCGGAGAGGGACATTTTGTACAGATACTCCTAGTTGGTAATGGACTTCCGTGGGACATCTCTTATGTACAAAAATTATATAAAAGTTATGAACAACGAAAATCATTGGAAATCTTGGTCTTATATCTATTGGGTTGGATGGACCTGGGAAATAGTTTCCACAGTGACTACCGTTGCTAACGGAAGTGTGTATAACTGTGTGGTTCAGGAGACAAGCCTCCCTGCATGTTCCAAGCACGTCATGAGCCGCAAGATTTAACATGCCAAATACCCCGGGTGGATAAAAGCTTGTGAACCAATATCTAAACTTTAATACCAGGTTGAAATCGCTAAAACAATTGATGGGGAGGAGCCATAAATAAAGGCGATTCCGTGCAGTCTAGCCTAGGGGCAAAGTACACCTTCTGTCCTCCAAAGGATTTAGAGCCGGGACTTAAATTGGGATGGCCCTTTGAAGAATAATAAGAGTTGTTGTTTGTCCCGTTACCAGAAAAATGAGTCTTGTTACGACGCAAATCATCCGCTTAGTGTGGATCCAATCAAGGATGGGTTTTCCATATGTTGTTATGATATTCACCAGTAATATCTCGTTTATTAATTGCCTGGCTAGCTCAATCGGTAGAGCGTGTGACTCTTAGCAGTACGCGATCACAAGGTTGCGGGTTCGACCCCCGCGTCGGGTTATGTTTTTGAAATAAATATATTGCCGATAGCTAATTCGTCAAAGAAAAAGTTACTGTCGAAATCCGTTCCCATACACATCTGATGACATAGGACCGTGTAATTTCGGTTAGAAGAGTCTCATACTGTGTCTCAAAAGAGCATCGAATGATGTCTCAGGGGGTAATTTCAGTATATTCAAGACTTCTTACCAAAAGGCAAGTAAATTATTACCATTTATTATTTATCGCCGTGGACGCTAACCTTATTCAACTGCATTTACTTTTAGTTCCTGGTTAAACTTTCATGTTATGGGTGGAGCAAGCTAATTCTTCGATAGACATATTATCACTTCATGCTATATCTGATAACACGTATAGTCTTGTATTATGCTAATGTGGTGACACTCGCGTATCATACGTGTTATTCCCCATTATTAGGCCGTGAAACCTCAACTAGTAATTTCGTTCAACCCTGGCCTCCTCATCCCGTTCACCCTGGCCTACACTAGGGCGGACCCCCTCACTCCCTTGCTATCAACATGCCGAGAAAAAAGCCTAGACTAGTCTGGATAGAGTATTATCACTAGATATATTACAACAGATTATTTATATTTATGCACATACCTTGATGCGACCCTATAATTCTTGGTCACAAACTTTCGGTGGCAAATTACTTAATTATCTGTACATTTTTAATCCTTTCATTAATTGCACACCATCTCAACCAGTCAGCGCATCGCTGGCATCAGAACTTGTCTTAGCCCAGTAATAATAATCTGAGACATGCCGACTCCTATAAGTATCCTCCGCATAACAACGACTAGCATATGTCGTACAATACTACACTGACAATAATAACGTCACTTGCATATTCCGTTCAAAGTCGGAACCCTGTGCCGTTCAGTACAGGCTCGCCGGTAATCGTATTTCCGGTGGTCACCTCTGGTGCCGGAGTAAAGCCATCACGTGAGTTTACTCCCCCCTAATTACAATGGATACTCAGCGATCGCTACCGGAATTTTTTTTAAGGGCTTTCCGAGCATGCAACCAGGTGTATGAAACCCTGTTTAGAACATATTTCTTAATTACTATACTCAGAACAGGATTGGCGTTGTTTGCCACCTAAATTAGCTCTTTTCTAATCCCTGTCTAATTGTATAAAAGGCGTGTAACCTCCGTAAAATTAAATCATACCGTTCCATTTCTTGAACTAATCCCGTCAACCCAATAAACAAATAAACAAGTGAAAAAATTAATGTCTACTTACCCAGAAACTTTCCAAGGCTACGCCATTGACAACAGTACCAACTGGAACAAATCCAAGCTCACATCCTACGCTCCAAAAGCCTTCGAAGCCAACGATATTGATATCGAAATTGAATGCTGTGGCGTTTGTGGCTCTGATTTCCATACGGTCAAGGGTAACTGGTGGGAGTTGAGAAGCCTGGTTGTGGTGGGCCACGAGATTGTGGGTAAAGTGGTCAAGGTTGGTCCTAGCGTCACTCACTACAAGCTTGGTGATCGTGTCGGTGTGGGTGCTCAGGCTAGGTCTTGTTTGAATTGTGTTCGTTGCAAACGTGACAACGAGCCTTACTGTAAAGCCGCCGTTTTCACCTACAATTCGGCTTACCCGGATGGCTACATCTCTCAGGGTGGCTATGCTTCCCATGTCAGAGTACATGAGCACTTTGTGTTTCCCCTTCCGGAAGGTATCAAGTCGGAGCATGCCGGTCCGTTGATGTGCGGTGGTTTAACCGTCTACTCTCCGTTGAAGAGATTCTTGGAACGGGTCCGTGATACCAACAAGAAGTACGGTGAGGAGGATGTCACTGTCGGTATTGTTGGTATCGGAGGCTTGGGCTCTATGGCTGTGCAGCTCGCCAAGGCTTTAGGCTACACCAAGGTCTATGCTCTTTCTCGTGGTGATTCCAAAAAGGCAGACGCATTAAAGATGGGTGCCGATGGTTTCATTACCACTGGCGAAAAGGGCTGGGCTGAGTCCCACCAGGATACCTTTGACTTTATCTTGAACTGTGCTTCCTCGATCTCCGAATTAGACTTGAATGCGTTCCTTTCGACCTTGAAGTTTGAAGGTACCTTTAGCTCTGTGGGGCTAGGCCCTGCCAATGAATCCTTCAGTGTTTCTGCGGGCTCTTTTATCGGAAACCGCTCCAGTATGACATCCTCTGGTTTGGGATCCCGAGCTGAGTGCATCGAAATGTTGAATTTGGTTGTGGAAAAAGGAGTTATCCCCTGGGTTGAAGAGGTGCCTATCTCTGAGACCAGTGTCAACGAGGTGTTGACCAAGTGTGGAAAGGGCGAAGCCCGGTACAGATACTGTTTGACCAACTTCCACGAGGCTTTCCAGACTGGTAAGAACTAGGTGCGTATAGTTTGATGGACTAGCACTATGGGTTTGTAGGAAAATCGTAAGGAGAGGCGTATGGGTTGGCTCCTCGAAGAATAAGGCGGGATATTACAATGCCATTTTATTAATTCTGGTGAGGGGTTTAAAAGTAAAGTTTTGGATAGTCAAGTAGAGTATATTTCGAGCTGAAATCCGTCCTGGTGAATTGAATCTTAAGCTGTTCCAAGCCGTTTATGAGGTGCTCCTTAAGGTTCAATTTAGCATCAACTTAAAGGCACGAGAAAGAACTAACCCTTTTTTCAACAAGAACGAAAAGAGAGCCACTTTCGAATATTCTCCTTGGTAGGAGACAAAAAATATCGACAACGGCAGGACTCGAACCTGCGCGGGCAGAGCCCAAAAGATTTCTAATCTTTCGCCTTAACCGCTCGGCCACGTTGCCTTGTTATATTTTTTCCAGCACCATTGGTTGTATTGGACGATAAAAGCAGGGAGTAGATTAAAGTTAATGTAAAAGATTGGAGATTAAACTGGATTAATTGTATTATGGTTATATTTTAATGGTAAATTTCCTTTCTAAAGCCGAAACTAATACAGGTGTCATAGATAAATATAAAAACTTGTATCAAGTTAAATATGTATATTCAATATCAGACATGAATAAATATAGTTATAAGATGACCTAACTTTTGAGCTCGGTCCAGACCAAAAATATCCAAATAAAAATCTCAAATACCACCCCATTAGGGGACGGAAAGGTTTAAAAACCAAAACATCTGCCCATTATCTACAATTGTATTTTGGGTCGTTTGCTACAACAAAGAGCAAATGATTTTGTCCAGGATTAGACTGAGAACGTACTACGTGACCCGGGACACCGATACCGTTTCCGAGTCAACATCACGTGGGTGTGAGCCATACATGCATCCTGCATGCAGGTCTTACCTGCGCCACATAGTAACTTCAGTCGGGGAACTCGTGACTCTTTCTGAGGATCTTCGGTGAAAACAGAGTCTTTCGGGCTGACATGTTAAGAACTGCTCCGAATAAACAGACTGAAGTTTTCTTTTTCAAAGATCCATAACCCCAATTTTTAACAGATACTGCGATGTCTACGAATCCTAATGGGACCCCCTCCCACCAGGTGTACGAACATGTTTCGTCGCAGCCAGAAAACCCGTTCTCGACAATTGTGAACAACCAGAAGATTGCCATCATTCCCGAGTTTGAGTTGGAAAGCGGAGAGGTGTTGCAAAAGGTGCCAGTGGCGTATAAAACCTGGGGCAAATTGAATGCCCGTGGGGACAATGCCATGATCATCTGCCACGCCTTGACGGGCTCAGCGGACGCGAGCGACTGGTGGGGCCCGCTTTTGGGCAAGGGCTGCGCTTTCGACCCCTCCATGTTTTTTATTGTGTGTTTGAACTCCCTAGGCTCGCCCTACGGCTCAGCCTCCCCCGTGACAATGAACCCTGAGACCCACAAGTTGTACGGCCCGGAGTTTCCGATCTGCACCGTGCGAGACGACGTGCGGATTCACCGCTTGGTGCTCGACTCGCTCGGAATTAAGCAGGTGGCCGCCTGTATCGGAGGCTCCATGGGGGGAATGCTTGTCTTGGAATGGGCGATGCTTGGTCGTGAGTACGTCCGCTGCATTGTCCCGTTGGCAACTTCTGCCAGACACTCCGCTTGGTGCATCAGCTGGGGTGAGGCACAGAGGCAGTGCATCTACAGTGACCCAAAATACGATGACGGGTACTACAAGTTGACAGAACCGCCGATTTCCGGGCTCTCCGCCGCCAGAATGTCGGCCTTGCTCACGTACCGCTCGCGCAACTCGTTTGAGTCTCGTTTCGGCCGCAACGCTCCGGAGAAGAAGGTGCAGCCCGTGGTGGAGAAGAAGGAGGAAGATAACGTGTCTATCCACAATGACGGCTCACGCAACCGTCACCACGGCCGTCCGCGCTCTAACTCGAATGAATCGATCACCTCCAACGGTTCGTCCGCCTCCAACGCCTCACGTAACCCTACCAAGAGCAGACCCCAGCATTACTTCACCGCTCAGTCGTACCTCCGGTATCAGGGTGAGAAGTTTATCTCGCGCTTTGACGCCAACTGCTACATCTCCATCACCCGCAAGCTCGACACCCATGACTTGTCGCGCGACCGTCTGGAGTTTGCGGATTTGTCTGCGGCCGTAAAGTCCATCCAGCAGCCAGCCTTGGTCATCGGGATCACCAGCGATGGCTTGTTCACCTATTCGGAGCAGATTTTTATCGCGAGACACATCCCTGACTCGCAGTTGCACCGCATCGAGTCCATGGAGGGCCACGACGCGTTCCTCTTGGAGTTCCAGGAGATTGATGACTTGATCAAGAAGTTTTTGCGCGAAAAGATTCCCGATGTGCTCGAGGGAGAGGTTGAGGGCTGGGAGTTGGCCGAGGACCTGGGCGATTGGACGGGAAGTAGCGTTTTTGGCGAGGCGGAGGACGTGACCCAGTGGTAGTATATATAGATGACATAAAGATAAGAATGCAAAAGTAGGGGTGTAAAATAAGGTTGCAAAAGTGGGGGTGTAAAAATAGATATTCTTTATATCAATCCAGTCCTGGCAGCTAAAGTTGGATTGCACCTTTAGCATGAGAAGCCAAATTCAAGTAAATGGTCTTGTAATCATTTTTAAGACTAGAATTCACAAAAAAGTAAATGCGCCAGCCCGGAATCGAACCGGGGGCCCAACGATGGCAACGTTGGATTTTACCACTAAACCACTGGCGCTTGTACTTGTGAATGTGAATGAATGCCATTGGTGAACCCGTGCTGAATGTTACTTAAAATATCTTTTTGTAATGGAACGTATATTCGGATTAAATAATCCAGATATATGGCTTGTTAACGGTAAATAAAACTGAGAGTGATAAACCTGCAGAGCCTTTCCCCCAACAAATTGTTATGAATAAGATAAACAATGGTTTACATCTTTTATCTACGGTTTAGTTGCCGCGTCGTTCAATTCTAAATCCAAACGGGAAAGATACATTCTAAACGAGAAACATTCTCATCTCTCCCAAAAAGCTCTGTAGCTCAAGTTAGCGACGCTTTTACGTTTTATGAACCAATACTCTCTCCCTATCGGCTACGATGACTAGTAGCTCCAAACTGCAGTGTCTAGCACAAGATTTTCTTTAAAACCTTGAATGCCAGAACCTCGAAGTTTATAGTCTCATTTGAACCCCACAGCCGTTATTAAGTACATCACGTGTAAGGTGGAGACTCGGTCCATCACGTGATTGAAACATAGTTCTCGGTATCTACACGACATGAACATTTCAAAAGGTAGAAAAAATATTGGCACGCGTTTTGGCAGGTCAACCTTCTATTTACCTTTTGCTATTTTCTTTCTCCATACAAACCCCTATCCTATCCACGCACGTGCCTTAACATAACCGTCTCTATAAACCTCACAACGCCATGTCACAAGAAAACGCCGCGGAAAACGAAACCTCGCAGAGTTTTGGCGTAGAGGCTCTGGAGCAACCTCTGCCCCAAGTATTTGCAAATGAAAGCCAGCTTGAAACGCTGAAGAGACCTCTCGCTTCTACCCAGAATTATGGAACCACGGAGTCATCCTCCAAGAGAATACGGCTCGAGGACATGGACCACGATTTTCTGTTTGAGCAGGCTGAGCACGAAGGCCTCTTCGACGTCGGCACCTCCGAGACCCTAAGCGGATCTAGCGACGTGATTAATGCGTTCCACAAAGCGTTTTCCGAGTCTATGCTTGGAAACCATGCAGAGCTAAGCCAGGCCAATGCCTTTGAAGCGAAGACAGGCGCCATGGAGTTCCAGGAAGGAACTGAGAATCTCGAAGCGTTTCACGAAGCGCTTGCAAGAGAAATCGCCGACGAGATATCCCACTCCGTGGAAGCATCACAGCTGGAGGCAGTGGAATTCCAGGAGGCATCACAGCCGGAAGCTATAGAATTCCAGAGTGGTTTCAGTACAGGCCAAGAGCTAGAGACCCGCACAGAGAATACCATGGAATCGCAAGGTTATGCTGGCAGCCAATTTATGGGCGGAATGAGCCATACACAGTTGATGCAGGAGCATACAGAGAACGAGGCGATGGGTGTGCCTGAGGTTTCTCAGAGAGATGACCTCCCGGTGATAGAAGAGACCAAAGAGACTATTCGAATTGGTGAATCAAAAGCTACGGCGATATCTAAGAGCGAGTCTGAGAATAACCTCCAATACGAGAATGAATCGGTAGCCGAGTCCCAACCTGAAACCAGTCCCAACGAAGCTGCTCGCAGCCTTCCCGACATAGCACAGCCGACCGAAACCGTGGAGACCACGATACAAGACACTATCCCCAAAGCTCTAAGCGACGTCACCGAGACACCTAATTCTCAAACAGAGTCTGGAAAGACTAAGGCGGCCGTTCCTGGGGTGTTGGCTGTCACTTCGCAAGCTGATGCACCAAAGATAGGTGAGGTTGAAAGTCTAAACGACCAGATAGTTGAAACGATTGCCTTGGCCCAAGTGACAGAGCGGCCAGTACTAGTAGAGGAAACAGACCGGGAATCGCTATCCATGGAAGGTGAGGCTTCAATACAGGAAGCGTCAGATATTTCTACTCAACCGGAAGTTCCGACTGGATCCGTTGCTGCTCAATTGGAAATTCCAGTTGAATCGGTTGCTGTCACTCATCCGGCCGTTGCAGAAATTGTCGCTCACGAACCCCAGGACGTGATTATGGAAGAGGCTAATAATACACATGAAGTGCCAGATGTTAAGCAAGAGATTGAAACCCGGCCTCTATCAATTGGAGAACCAGCAGCGATGGATATTCTACAGGAGCTGCCAACAGAGGTAACAGCAGTCGTTGAAATCCCAGAGGCCTCTGAAGTTCGAGCGGATGTCTCAGAGGCTGCTGGTGAAGTTACCGTTGCTGTTACTACTAATACCACCGCCGACCTTCCAGTCACTTCAATCGATGATCCATCTACCATCACCGTTGAACCGAACGACCATCCCCAACCTACCGAAGGGGCTTTGGCGACCAATGACGGTGATTCTCCGCACGAGCCTGGAGTGTCCCAAAAAATAGATGAACCTGCTCGAGCTGACCAAACCTCTGGCATTCCCCCGAATCCACCTGTCATGACGGACGAATCTGCCTTGAACACCTCCTCTTCTCCTCCCACCACCAATCTCTTTGAGTCCGAGGACCATCGGAAAGAACTCTATGGGTTCAACTACGTGGCGGACGAATCCCAGAAAGAGCCAAAACCCAACGAGGACTCGCTCTTGGGCATGTCAGAAAACGAACAGCTCCACTACATCGCGTCGCACCTCGAACTGGCGACCCAGGCAAACAAAAAAGATAACTACCTGTCGTTCATCCCGGCACACTCCGAGTTGCTCACCAACAAGGATAACGCGGCGCTTTCGGCGTATAGCACGCTCACCCAGACCGAGACGTACCTGTCAGTGACAAGCTTGTCGTCGCAGCTCGCAGCGCTTCCGTTGACGCTTCTCGCGCCGACGGTACTCCCGTCGCGGATGCAGCTCCTCATCAACTCGATCCCCGCGCTCGACAACCTCGCGACACAGATTCTCCGCATTGTGGCGATCAACCCATACGGAAAGGTGCTCGAGTTTGTGCGCAAGAAGGACGAGCTGCTCGACGGGATCAACTTCCGCGACCTCATCGACTGCTTCGAGTACACCAAGAGGCAGTACGGCGGCGAGGAGACGCCATTCCTCACGGTGGAGAACGTGTGTCCCGGGTTGTGGCAGAGCGGCGGCGTGGCCCCAGCGTTTTTGCGCGGAAAGGAGGAGGTGATCGAGAGCTGTCTCCGGAAAGCGAACCTCGCGACATTTTTGGGCGCCACGTTGGGGATGATCGAGGTGGGTTTCTTCTGGTTGAACGAGTTCTTTCTTGACGTATTCTGTCCTGCCTCCACCTTTGGGATTCACGGCCCGGTTCAGGCTTACTCTGCCTCCAACGGCGTAGGCCGTTTTCTCAAGCCCCAGGCTGGGTTGTTCTTGGAACTCAAGACCCAGGCGTACATCTCGGCCGTGTCAGATAACGACCGCGAGGAGACCGATGGCGACCGAAGCCGTGAAGAGATCTTGGACGACATCTTTGCGCCCGATTTGGACAAGCTTTTGGTCGAACGCCGCGGAGCCAAACTGTTGACCCCAGCGGAGCAGGATTTTCTCGAACGCTGTGCCAGCAGACGTGAAAACTTGCTCCTCAGTCCGCCCGGGGAGGACTTGGCAGAGAGGTACGAATGGGTGCTGTTCTTGAAAGAGTTGTTTGAGTACGTGGGGAAGAACATTGGGTCGCTTGTGTGGGGCAGAAAGGGCCGCCATTTCAACGCCACCCCGAGCGTGGCGATCCGCGATGGCTGGTGGAGCAAAACCACGTTAGAGCCGTCTCCACCAGCTGCCGCGTCCAAGTCTCGTGCGGAGGAGACTCCACCGGAGTTTACCGAGAGCATGGACTATCAGAGTCTCTTTTCAAGTACGGCCCAGCCGTCAAAGATTAAGCACTTGGCGCGGCGCCCGTGGTCTAAGGAGGAGCAGGACGCGTTGCGCGAGGCGTTGGAGTTGAAGGGTCCGCATTGGGCGCAGATCTTGGAGTTGTTCGGCGCCGGGGGGAAGATCTCCGAAGCGTTAAAGAACCGGACCCAGGTCCAGCTCAAGGACAAGGCGAGAAATTGGAAGATGTTTTATCTCAAGACGGGGAAGGAGGTGCCATTCTATTTGCAGCAGGTGACAGGTGATTTGGACCGTGACGACAAGTTGAAGCTCACGAACAAGAACAAGGTGCGGAACACCTACACGTAGATGAATGGATATGGTATGGTATGGATTCTTTAGAAACTGTTTGAAATTGTAAATTCCTTATGTCCAATTTCTCATTCTACCACCTATTTTTTTCTCTTTCCGGTGCACATCTTGTAATTAGCCAAGACTAAGGTATTTGTGTTTCTTAAACGTACACGGATTAATACCCCCTGCTATTCATTGCATACCTTCAAGAGAATAAGCAAATAATTTTATATAAATATAATCCAACTCTCAGTTGACACCTTTGGTGCTCCCCACTTCGCATGGTTACAAGTCCCGACGTCCCTCTTGTGCGTGCACCTACCAGCAAGTCCATCTATTTCTGCGCCTTTTCACCCAACATAAGCACAATACTCTCTTCCTCGTCCACAATGAACGTGTCCGATTTAGTCTCTACCGGGACCCCACAGAGCACCGGGAGCTCGCCTCCAGCTTCCTCGCCAGGTGTGGCGGTGCCAAAGTTGACCAAGCGCACGAGCGTGGCAAACTTGATGAACGAGAAGGACGTCGATATCAACGGTGTCGAGACGTTGAACCGGACGCGAAGCACCGGCGAAAATAGGCCGTCCACGACCGAAGAGCGCGAAAGCGAAAGCGAAACCGATGGCCAAAGCGATGGTGATAGTGACAACGGCAAAGCAGAAGACTCTGTGAGAGAGCCAAGTTCCCTTTCGGTCAAGCCGTCAAAGCCTCGGAGGTACCAGAACGTCCCAGTGTGGGCGCAGGATTGGACGGCGCCTGGGGATACGAAGCCAGCCACACACACGGCGAGGAATGCCAACACGTTCTACGCGCCGTCCATCACCGGGACGGTGCCGTACGAGGACCTCACGCGCCGCGTGTCGACGTGGGTCTACGCGGTGCTCCTCAAGTCGATCCAGAAGTCTGACTACAAGTACATCGAGCTTGAGTTCAAACTCGGACGCATCATTCACAAGGAGACGGACAAGCGGATCTCGGTGCCCGTGACGACCGAGAGCGCCATCAACCCCGACAACAAAGACTTTGTGTTTGTGCCCGGTGTCGAGCAGCACATGTACCAGTCGTTGGGTAAGTTCATTGAGGATTTGATGCATCCGCACGACGCACAGCGCAAGGCGCAGAAGTTCAAGACGATCGCACTGAGGATCGTGGACTATAGCTACAACGTGGGGGCGGCCAGGGAGAACCAAGGCATCCCCAGACGGGTCAGAGTATCGAAGGACAGCAAGACGGGGCGTGAGACGGCGATTGAGAAACTCCGCATCAGCGACTTGTGGCTCAGTTTGCCGAACGAGCTTGTGGACTTGAAGATCTCGCTTTCGTTAGAAAAGCCAGTTGAGAATGACGATCAGTTGCAAAAGCTCCAGGCGACAAACCGGCCGGTGAATATCCGCATTAAGGCCAGGGACTCGTACATCCATCCCGCAACGTGCTGCCAGATCGACATGACACGGATTATCGACGGAAAGGACAAGTTGAAGCCGCCGACGTTCGAAGTGGAGTGCGAGTTGATGACGCCAGAGCTTTTGGACCGTCACCGGAAGTTGATCCACGAGGCAGAGAATGGGGTTGTGAATGGGGACGCTGGGATTGCGTACGAGGAGTTAATCAGGTGTTTTGTGGATAATGGGAGAGCAATTGCTCGACAGTTCCTGAGATAACAGCAACACCGGAGGTTTGCCAAAAAAAAAGAAGAAAAAAATGGACGGAGTACTGGAGGGTGAAGGCCAAGGAAGACAGAGTTTTTCGTGCTCACGCCGAAAGAGGTAGATTGTATTAATATATTTATGATCACGAAAAGGTATAGTGGGCAAAACTGGCCTTGGTTGATGAATATGGAAACGATACTATGGCTAGAAAGGGGTTTGCGTAGAGGTTATTAGCTACGGTTAAAGAAAATCCCTGAGGATGTCTATCGTACTAGACTGGACTGGCAAATACGAAAGCAATAATGCTTGAGAACTATCTAAGCTAGCGAGAGCAAACGTATACATGCTTAGATCTATGATGTTGATTCGAAAGTAAAGATGTCTGCGGATTTATATCCAAAGACCAGTCTCTAAGGAATCGAACCAGTGTAAACGGCACAACTCCGTATTATCGAATTTGAGATATACATCGACGAAAGGAATAGTAATTAACCAGACCTCGTATCGGACTGAGGTGCTTCTCTGCTATTACCTATGGCTTGAGGATATAAAGCGTGTTTAAATATTCCATAAATCTAATTCAGACACCTCTAACTGGAATTTAAGTCACCTTGAGGCATTCGTAGACCTAAATATCCACCACAGATGCACCATTCGGCACCCCAGGCATAGTTCCTTACACGAGTCGCATACACCTCAACTCGGCTAGATAGAGACTACCCCAAGTTCAAAGCTTACCTTAAGCCAGATAGTGGGTGAAAATTATGTTATATAAACATATGCAAAACGGTTCATCTGAGCGCGATTCACTTGAAGCGCCGATGAAAATAGCAGTGGAGGAAATCCTCAGGTATATGCTTATTTAGAGGAAACAATGCACGTAAAGAGCACTTCAGTCCATCTGATTTCCTCATCTGGCAGATCGCGTGCGTAGACACATGATAAGGGAATGTTTAACCTGATTAGGAAAAACCTTACAGAGGAATATTTCTCAGATCCACTTGATCACCGTTGGAATAAACACTAACCTTGACCGTGAAAAACTATATAAACGGGGAGGTTTCATTCTACTCGGCCATTCTTGTCATCATACCATTCAAAGCTATTGCCTTTTGAATACCTAACCCCAAAACATCACACAAAATGCCAATGAAGTATACCCCAAGAGCTGAAGGTTTGGGGAAAAAAGCCACCGGTGCTCAAGTCCCCAGGAAGCAACTCGTTATTGGGGGAATACACCATTTCAGACGAAATCAGCCACAAGATTTCCGTGAAGCCGGGAGACGTGTTTTTTTCCCCCTAAGGGCACCACCGTCACCATCTCTGGCGGTACCGATTCCTGCGGATTAGCCTATTTCTGCAAGTTGAGACCAGCTTTGTGACTGCCCTCAATAATTAAACCTTTTCTACCGACTGAACTATCAGAAATTTATTGACAGTTGGATTTTGTAGATTCCGAGCGGCAGTAGGCGTATAAAACTGCTAGATTTTAGCGGTTACTCTTCCAATCCAGCTCATAAAAAGCCCAGGAGAAATTCTAAAATTCGATTGAATATTCCAAGGCGTTTTTTAAAACGTCGACTATCAGTCGCATCTCGTGTCTTTGATCCATTAACAGGAGCCGGGGTTGTCATTGAACTAATATAGAGGAACTAAGTCCTTGAAAGATAAAATAGTACATTAAAAACTACTACCTTTGCTATTATCTCCGCACTATCTCGAATGAAAAAAATAGTAATAATAATTCAGTCTGCCCCAGCTTGGGTCAATCCTGCACAGGACTCAACTCCAACTGATCGATTTAAACGCAACGTGGCAACGCACGCTTTACTCAACCTTCCAGCCCTAGAACTATTCCACCATGAAGCACTTGATCTTGGGTTTGGTGGCTGTCCAGGCTGCTCATGCTCAGTTTTTCAACCACTTCTTCAACCAACAGCATCAACAGCACCAACAGAAGCCGCGAGTCGCTGAAGACTACCAGCGTGAATACGCTGAAAACGACAAGTGCAACGAGTACTTGTGCCCTGACACCTTAGTGTGTGTTTCTGGACCGGCTGAATGCCCTTGCCCGTTCCCGGACTCTCAGTTGAAGTGTGTGTTGCCAGGCGATGCCAACTACGTGTGCATCTCCAAGCCAGAAACTGCCAAGGAGGTTAGGGACTGTGCTTGGGTCATGAAGGCCTACGAAGGGTTGATTTAAGAGGAGATGGATGATTGACCCAAACTTGTTGTGAATAAGATAGGTATGGCCTAAAAAATGACTTGGAGAGGCCCAACTGAGATCTCTATCCAGGCTGCTATTCAGAAGCGCTCCGGCCCCAGGATTACCTGTATAGCTATTTTCTTGTAATTACGGATAAAATAGATTAATAATTTGTTGCGGGTAGTGTGGAGTCTGAGCGTATCACTGTAGATGAGTACGTTGATATGGATGGATAGTTATATCTGATTCATGTTCAACGATATCCACTGTAAACCGCCTCTTGACAAGGATCACGGTTGCTTTTCAACTGTACTATAGACTTGGTCCGTTCGTTAAGCCATAAAAATAACTCAACAGGAGCTTGGTTAGTTTCCAGTTCGCAGAGCATCATCGGACTTAGATTGGATAAGATGCAGTCATTGACTGTTCATCCGTCTACATTCTAATTTCTCACATTTGCTGGTTCATTTCTCGTTATTGCCATTAAATACACAAATAGTCCATGAATTTAATAGACTTGATACCCTCGAAAACTACTTTTCAAAGGGAATGCAGGGGTGGATTAGGCTCGGAAGAAACGTAACGTCCTCATACCAGCTTATCCACGTTCACTCACTTCTTCCCTGGCCAATCTCAATAGTTGGTTGCTTATTTCGCTTTAACAGGTGCGTCCATGCGCTTTTCGTGGCTTTCGCTCACATCATCGAACTGACCACGTTCGCTTTCCTTGCTATACCAACCCACTCAATGTCAACTTTTCAAGAAACGGTGCCAAATCATCTTTCCGTACCTCAATCACTGAGCTCTCGAAACTGTCAATTCGCACCTTCACCCCGGTGGTGTTTGCCACGTGCTGGAAGGCCACACTGAACGTGTTTAATAACGCAGCACTCCCCCCGTCTCCCCGCTTAGGCACTTTTGGAGCCATCCCGATCACCAAATACGTGTCGGTCTCCAGGTCCAACGCCGCGAGCACGAGCGGAAGCAAGGTATCGTCCACCTCGCTGATTGTGTCGAGCAACCAGTTTCCTAACTTCATCAAGTTCAACGGGTTCAGGAAGAACTTACGCCCGCCGGCAGCGGTGTTGGTGTGGATCGAGGCGTCGTTCTTCGCCGTCAGCGACAAGTGGTAGTCGCTGCTACTCAACACTACTAAGCGGAAAATCTTGAGGTTCTTCAACTGCTTCTTCTCGATGATGGAGTGGCCCACCTGGAAAATCAATTGCTGCGAGAAAAGCGCAAGCTGGATGCCTTGGCGGATCTTGGCCAAGTCGGTTAATGCGTCCCAGGATCGCCAAAAGTTGGCTACCCAGAGCTTCTCCTTCTCGGCCGTCAACGCATCAATGTCATCGCTCTCGCTGGGCGCGCTGTTCTCTTCGTGCTCCAAGAGCGACGAAATCGCCTCCACACAGTCTCGCGCAGAAACGGAGCCATTGTAGCCAAATGACCGGAAGTAGCCCTCGGTGGCTAAGCTATCAAAGCCGTACTGGTTGACCAACACTTTTGTGAAGATGTTGTGCAACTTTTTCTTGATGCCAATGTCCATATAGATCCACAGCTGCTGTGCCACGCTCAACGAGATGCCCATCTTGGCGAATATCTTGTTCAATTTTGACTTGCCTTGCTCCGTGTACAAGAGGATCTTGGAGTTAATGTAGTTGGAGTAGTAGAACGCATTGTAGAGCGACCAGTGTCGCAACAAAAAGAGGTTGTAGTCCTTCTCCACCGTGAGTCGCGAGTCGTCCGCCGTGCGCTCCTCGTCCGCGCCGTGGTTCAACCTGCGCACTTCCTTGCGGAACAAGTCCGCCAACCGCGCCCAGAGCTCTGGGTACTGGTGCTCCAACGACGTTGATCCGATGATTGCGAGCCACAAGTTGTCGAGGTTGTTGGTCTCACCAATAAGCGATACGAGGGAGTATACCTGGGAGGTCACAGAAGTCACCACCGTGGTGCCCTGGCCGTAATAATTTTCAATCGTGGTCTCATTGTCTTTGATCACGCGTTTGCGTGTTTTGGGTTGTTTTGTCTGGGGGGAAGAGGATGACGATTTTCTCTTTCGAGAAATATCCGTTTCGTCTATCTCAAATATCTCCTCCTCCTCCTCCTCCTCCTCTTCTTCTTCTTCTTCCTGGTTTAGCTCGTCATCGTCTATGTTCACCAAAAAGTTGTACGCATCCTTCTCTAAAGCCAAATCACCGATCAAGCCGTCGTCAAAACACGTCACCATGGCGGAACCAAACACATTGTCCAAGTTCCACGGACGATGACCGTCTATCACAAAGATCTTGCGCTTGAGGACCGTCTCGGCCTCCAGGGAACGTGTAGCGTCCACAAACTGGCCCACGTCAATGTCCAAGAAGCTCTCGAGGTCGACCATGGCGCCGCAACCCACCAAGATGATGTTGTTGACGTCCGCGTCCAAGCGCGTGTAGTGCGTTGCAAGATCCGCGTAGCCCACGATGGGCACGATCTGGAAGTTGATGAGCTTCTTCTTGAAGACCGCCGCCAAGATCCGCAGCGCACAAAGCGCGTCGACGTCGAGGCACGACACAAAGATCACGAGCTTACACGTGGAGTGTGTTAGCGACGTCGTCACAATGTGGTTGTATGCCTGGTTGTAGTTGCTCGGCAAGATATACATGGTGAATTACCTATTTGGGCGTGTGTAGGATCTGTCTCGTGTATGTGCCTTGTGTATTGTCCAAATGTATTGACTTTGATGCCGAAATTTCAGCACGAAAAAGAAGGGCAAAAAGACGCGTCGCGTCGTGCGGCGGGCCAGTTTCAGCGGGGAGAGCACGACAAGGGATGTCATCTACCAAGCATGAATGATGGGAGTAAAAGGAATAGAAAATAATGAAAGAAAGGGGTATAGATTGAGGGTTTTTTTTAGCATCTATGGGTTTATATTGGCGGAAGGGAAGGGCGGTAAAATACGGTCTGCATTGTCACAAAACGAATGTGATGGGAATGCAAAATGCAATGCAAATAATACAGCAAAATTAACGTCGCCGTGAAACTCCTCCACGCGAGATAGCTTTGATATTATAATTAATTATGTATAAACGTCACTGTCTATATTCTATGAGCTTCATTACCTCTTGCTGCCTCTTTGACCCTTCTACATTAATCTCACTCATGTAAAATTAAACAAGGTAAAAAAAAAAAAAATTAAAATACAATATAATACAATACACCAATCCACCTATCAATCCACTTCCATCCTCACGATTGCCTAAGCACTCGCCAACTCCGTGAAATACTGTCTCAAAATAAGCGCAAGCATCTCAGGTAACTCATTAATATCATGAACAACCACATAGAACTCAAACGGAAACGAGTCCAAGTACTTGTCCACCTTCAACACCATATTCCCCGCAGCATCTGGAACATAGCTCACCTGGCTCATATCCAAGATCGACTCACTCGAGTTAACCCCGTTAATCACCACAAACACAAGCATGATCTTATCCTCACGTGCCCTTCTCACCAATCTCTGAATCGTCGCGTGGTCCTCGCAGACACCGTCAGACACGATAATCTGCAACTGCCAGAGATCCGCGTCGCCGGTGGCTCTGGCTGTCTCAAACAACCCAATAGACTGGCTGACTAAGCGCTGGACATCTGTGCGCGTCTGCAGAAAGTCAAACCACTGGAAAACCCTGGCCCCCGTCTCCGACGTGAATGGTCTGTCAAACGGATGAACCACCTGGGTAGTTTCCCCGAACTTGACAATCGACAAGCCACCAGACTCCAATTGGGTCAATGCCTTGGACACCAACGCAATACTCTGGAACGCCAACTCCACAGAATGGCTCTCGGCCATCGACTTGGAGTCATCCACAGCAATCATGATCTGGTACTGGCGCTTGCTCGGCTTGGTGCGGCGCAACCAGATCTTGTCCTTGCGGAACTCCGACGCAATGTACGGGATGATACGCTTCATGTTGAGGCGCTTACCGGTCTTGTAGTCACCCTTGAGCTTAGTGGCAAGGGTTGGCTCCAAGATAAGACGGAGTTGCTCACAAAGCCCGGCGGTGAGCTCCAGTGTCGCGAGATCCGACGCGCGCCAAAGCTCGCGCGCTTCCTCAATGGCGCGTGGCGCCGCGACCGCATCCTCCACCAACCCAGACTCCACAACCTCTTCCATCTCCACGTCCGCAAACTCCTCCTGGGCAAAAAGACCGCTTTCGTTCATGGTCTTTCTTTCGCCGATAAACGCACCCTTGGATTGACCGTTAAAGTCCCCAACCTCTTCCTGGGCTTCCTGGACCTCGCCATCCTCGGCCTTTTCCTCTCCAACCTCTTCAGTCTTGGCCTCATCGGTCACCTCTTCCTCCTCGTCGATGGCCATCTCGTCGTCGATCGATTGGACCTGTTCCTTATCAGCCGCCCCCAACGCCTGGGTCTCGTTAGCGGTGTTTTCACCCGAAACGTGCTCAAACTCGTCTGGACGCTCGGCGGCAGCCTCTTCGGCGCTCTCATCGCGCTCGGCGGCTTCCTTAATCTCCTGGCGACGGCGGTGGAACTCCTTAAGCGAGTCCCCGAGCTGCTTCAACGACTCCTGCGCGGCATCTGGAGCCTCGTCGTCGTTATTGCTCGCCTCCTGGTCGTTCTGTTCGTCCTGAGGGTTCGCCATCCCGCTAGCCCCGACGTCATCCTTCTCGTCGGTAACCTGGTTATCGTCACCATCGCCCTTGGACCCGTCGTTTTGCTTCACGGCCGATTCCATATCCACATCCTCAGCATCTGCCGCTTCATCACCCTCAAGACCTTCGATAGTTTCACCTTGTGCTTCCTCCTCGTCTTCCTTCTTGGAGCCAGCCTCTTCCTCTTCAGGATTGTCTTCGGCGCTCTCACCAACCTCCTCCTCCTCCTCGCCGCGTTCCTCCGTCTCCTCCTCGGGCTCGGCGTTCCCTTCGACATTCTCGCCCTCAATTTCTTCGCCCTCAGAGTCGGAGCCCTCATCCTTATCTTCTTCCATGCCTTCGGCCTCACCTTCAGCATCCTCCTCCTCCTCTTTGTCAGCCTTGGCATCGTCCTCCATCGGAAGATCCTCATCCATGCCATCATCCATCGGCTCGTCTTTATCCTCGTCTTTATCATCGTCTTTTTCATCTCCCGAATCCAAGTTGAGATCCTCTGGAAGCTCCAACGTCTCGGTCTCCGGAACATTGTTGTCCAACTGCTCCCCTTCATCATTCTTCACCTCGTCGTCCTGCTGGCCAATATCCTCCTCTTCCTCGGCCTCATCATCGTCCTTCTTTTCCTCATCACCTTCTTTATCATCAACCGGGTTTTCGTTATCATTCTCCATCTCCTTATCGTCACCCTCCATCTCATCTTCTCCCTGGTTTTCATCCTTGGACGACGAATTCTCAGGCATCTGCTCGGACTCCTTCTCCTTCTTGTCCTCCTGGGCTTCTTCGTCCCACATCTTCTCGTCGATCGCGTTTGGATCCAAGTCATCCAAGTCGTCAACCTCCTCGTCCAAGTCCTCCTCCTCACCCTCCTCACCCTCTTCCTTCTCCTGGTCAGAGGCGTCTTCGAGCTCGCCAGCCATATCGCCTTCGATATCCACTGCATCATCATTTTCATCCTCCTCCTCGTCCTTGTCCTTCTGGTCGGAGTTGGGCTGCTGGGCATCCTCCGTCAAATCCTCGTCGTCTTCGACGTCCTTGGAGTTGTTGGTTACACCCTCGCCGTCGCCCAACCCGGTCCCGTCCTGGAGGTTATCCGACTCCTTCGTGGTGTTCGGCGGTGGCGGAGAGCAGAACCCTTGGGTGGTGAGCGTGTGGAGCGCGGTCGCCATGAGGTACGTTGCGCGCGCAGTCGCAGCATAGTTGTCGCGTGCGCGCTTGAGAACCGTGAGCGCGAGCGCAAAGTAGCGCCGCACGAGCGGAAGTGTGAACGCGACGAGGTTTCGCACGAGCGCAGCCGTCGCGGAATTGTGTTCAATCGTGCGCAACGCCGTGATACACGCCGTAAGGCGCTTTTGCACCGTCTGGGGGTAGAGAAGCGAGATGTACTTCATGAGACGCTGCTGGGACAACGCCATCCACTTTTCGTCCTCAGCGGTGATCTCCCCCGATCTCTGTTCGGCGGTGATCTTCTGCACGGAGAGCATCACCACCGTCGCGAGGTCGCGGAACGCGCGCTCCGCGGCATCAATCGTGCCGATCGCTGTAAGCGACGTCGACAGCTGCGCGCAGAACTTGGCGTCCTGCATGCAGATCCACGAACGCACCGTCTGCGCAACGAACGCGAGCGCGGGGTGGTCCGCGATCCACTCGTCCAACTGGTTGGTAAACGTCGCGACAAACGCGCCAAACGCGTCGATCGCAGCCACCTGGGCATCGGTGCCGAGGTGGCGGTCCGTCGCAACGTTCACAGCTAGCGCTGTGACCGTGAGTTTCGCATTGGTGAACACATCGGTGGAAACAGAGGTCTGCGCCATCTGTGCGGCGGTGGATGCTGTCTCAACCGCAAAGTCGAGCAAGGTTGGCAACCATGCGGCGTACCACTGCACAGAGGCTGTGTTGGCCACCACAGAGTCGGCGATGGTGGCGGGCACAATCGCATCGGCAATCGCGATATCACCAACGGCTTCGAGGGTCTGCACGAGCCCCGCAAGAGTGGATGTGTGCGTGGCTAACTTGCGCATCGGCCCGCGCTGCGCGACCAACGTGCAGAGAAGGTTTTCAGCTGCCGCAAGCCCGCGCGCGACATCCGCAGGTGGAACATCCTCTGCGGGGTCAGCCGCCGCCGCGCGCAAGCGTGGCATGAGATCGAGCACCCGGAAAAAGTGGCCGTCAGTACCCGCAAGCGATGTTCCTGCGAAGGACGCAGCGCGCGCCAACACAAGCGTCACCGACGCCTGGCGCGCCACCACGTCCGCGCGCAAGTGCGTCTTCACGCCCATCGCACGGAGTTGGCGGAGCGTCGCCGCAAGCAACATCCGCTTCTGCGTCTTGAGCGCCGCCACCTCTTTTTTGTTTTCCTCCGTCGCCTCACCCGGCGTCTTACGGCGGAGCTCCTCCATATCACCCTGCAACTCACGCGCGAACGCAAGAAGGTCTGGAAGTGCCTCGTTCGCAACCCCCGCCACGTACACGCCCATGTTCTTTTCCACGAGCGAGATGTCCCGAAGGCGCGCCGCACGCGAGGCCCACGTAGGAAGCGTCGCGCACACCGCGGTTACCGCTGCGAGATCCACGTCGTAGAAATGAGGGATGCTGATGGCTGCGCCGTGCTCGGAAACAGCACCAGACACCGGCAATCCAGTCTCAATGATCTGCTTAACGGAGCCAGCGAGCACCGTGCGGTATTTGCGCACAAGTTTGTAGAGCGCGGCGTGCGAGCGGCGTGCACTCTGCTTGAGCGCGTCCACATTGACGTCTTTCCAACTTGCGAGGAGGATAACCTCGCTGACGTCCTTCTCGAGGGCCTTGCGCTTCTGCGCAACGTGCTCGGCAATCACCGGCGCGAACTGTTCGTAGAACGTGATGAGGTTCGCAAGTGAGCAGAGTGCCGGTGCAGACGCAGGGAGGAGCGCCCGTACGTGTGCGGTGAACGCACGCACAAGGTCAAGACGGTGAGGGAACTCACCATAGGTGGTTTCACTGAGGAAGATGTTGAGAGCGGAAAGGACGCGGGAAGAGCCAATCTCGGTGTCAGCAGAGGCAGGGGCCTTTACCGCTTCGTCCGTGGCATCCGCGCGAGCATCTTCAACCTTGACGTCCTCGATCTTGATGTCCTCCACGTCAAAATCTTCCTCTTCTTCTTCGCTCATAATCGGCACGATAATCGTCTCGAAAAGGTGGAACCACCACTTCCCAAGGCTCTTCTCCACCACACGGTCCTCTTGCTGGAAGAGACAGCTCCACGACTTCAACTCCAACTGGCGCCACGACACGATTAAGCGTGTGAGCTCGTCGAACGGCGCCTTGAGGGAGACCCCGCTGTGCGCGTACTTCTCCCACTCAGCAATGTACGTGTACACCTGCTCAATCTTCTGGATGAGGCGCGCCATCGGTGTCGCGGCAGGGAACGCGAGGAACTCGTGCGCAGCCGCGAGAATGTTCTGGAGCGTTGCGTGCTCAGGCCACTGCGCGAGCAACGCCGCGACGCCACGCGCAAGGCGCTCCATAACGGCACCCGCGCGGCGCGTCTCCGCGGGCATGGTACCACGATAAAAGTCAACAGCATCGGTGTTGCTGGCCGAGAAAACAGAGGTTGCGTCCTTCATCTGAAGAACAAGCGACGACAACACCGCAGGGCTGAGCGCGCCCGGCGCACAGTCCGCGGCACGGAGCTCGCGGAAAACAGCGGCCCCGCGCGCGACAAGGTCACGTGCTGAAGTGCGCGACTCGCCCATCTGCGCGGCCATGTACGCGCGGCAAAGCGCGTAGTACGCGTCATCAGTCGCGGCCTGCGCCGCGGCCTTCGCACCCGCCTGCGCTGCAGCACTCGCGGCCGCAGCATCAAGCGTCCCCGCATCCATGACCTCTTCGTAATCAGGGAACATTCCCACAAAATCGTCCTCAGCCTCGTGCGACGGATCAGCATATTTGTACAAGCTCCCGCTGGCGGTTTCGTCCTGCTGCTCCTTCATCCGACGGAGCGACCAACGGTAGTACACTGTCTGGAGAATCTGCCCGAGCATGCCGTCTAAACGGCCAGGCGCGGTGGCGTCGATGGCAAAATGCATTTGCATGAAGAACGCCATGAGGTGCTCGGTCGCGAGCGCGTCAAGCGGCGCGCTCTTGCAGTGCGCGCTCATCGCAGCAAAGTCACACGCGAGGCGTTGCGGCGTAAGGAGCTGCGGCACATCGAGCGCCCACACACGTGGCGTCAGGAGCGCCGCGGTGTCACGCGCGGTCACAAGCAAGTCGTATCCGAGCTTGAGCCCGAACACGTGCCCACGGAGAATGTCGTTGAGATCTGCGAAGCGCGAGTGGCCCTGGTGGAGACGCACGAGGAACTGCGAAGCGTTATGCTGGAACATCGCGGCCTGCTGGACCGCATCACCCTCCAATGCTGCAAGAAGCTTTGCCACAGGTTCCACGGCCATCGCAGAGTCCATGAACGCCTTCCACTCCTCGAAGACCGCGCCAACCGCGCTCTGGCGGAACACCTTCGGTTTCGCTGGCACCGCCTGACACGTGGCAAGGTGATCCTCGAGGATAAGCGGCGTGCCGGAGACGGTCACGCGCACGGCCTTCCACGACGCGTGGAGCGCGCGCACGGCCGCTTGCTGCTGCACAAACACCTGGTGGACCACGTGGTCTGTGATTGCCGGGTCATACTCGGAGGATGGGACGTAGAGCTGGATCGAGCCGCAGGCAAAGAGCACCCAGGCCTTGCCGAGCGACGCAGTATCGCACGACTCCGCGAGAAGCAAGAGTGAAGGCATAAAGAATCCGTCCACAACCGCAAGGAATGCCGCGTCACAGGAGACGAGGCACGCGCGCACGGTCTCAATCGCCGCAACGGACACATGTGCCTCAAGGTCGGCAACCGCCGCGTGTGCAGCAGGGTCGACAGTGTGGCACGCGACGATCGCCGCAAGCCACTGCACGAGCAAGCGCGCGAGTTTCGCGCGCGCGTCCGCAAGTACCGCGGGCGACTCGCGCACCACACTGGCCGCGAAGCCATCCATATCGCGGAGGAACTGCGGAATGTCGCGGCCAGGCGTGTGCTTCGCACCTTCGCACTTGTCTGCGAGCGAGACAAACAAGTCATCGGTGACGAGCGCAGATACGTAGGAGGTGTGCTGGCCGTCACCAAAGTCCCAGAGGGAGTCAAACACCGCCGGGTATGGCTTAAGGGTGTGAGTCGCAAAGCGCGCCACAACCTCGGTAGAGCGGCCGGCGTTGAGCGCCAAGGTGAGGCGGTCTTCTGAAAGCGAGTCGGCGTCGGCGTCATACACGTCAGCCAAGTTGACCAACATGCGGAACTCCGGCTGGAACTTGCGCGCGCGCACAACCAGATGCACGGCAGCGATATCTCGAAGCTGTTCGATCCCCGCGGCAACATCGCGTGCGAGTGCCTCAAACTCCAAGTCGGACACGCCCGCGACGGCGTCCTGGAGTAATTGGAGCACAAGACGGCGCAACCCGTTGACGGCAGTGGTCGCATCAGCGTGCTGCTCAGCCGCGGCGGAATCAAAGTCTGCCGCAAGCGCCAACACCTGGTCACGGTGGCCCCATGCGGTCTCCGATGCCGGGTAGACGCCGCGGAAGGCCTCCCAAAGGGCGGCCATGGACGTCCCGGTGGTCAAAACCAAGCCCTCGCCAAAAGAGGCGATGGCGGCGGAGAGGTCTGAAATGAAGAGCTGGATCATTTCGTTGTCACGGTGCTCGTCCATCCACTTCTCGATCAACTGCTGGTAGACGCGCAAGCGCGCCTCGTCCTGCGCACGCGCTGCCGCCACGAGGTTTGTCCAGAGCGTCTGGAGCGCGAAGAGCGCACCATAGAGCCCTGTAGAGCGGAATACAAGATCGCAAGTCGCGACGCGCGCGACGGTAGCGCCAATGTAGGCCGAGATATCCAGCACAAATTTGAAGATCGCGAGGCGCGGCGCTTTCTTAATGTTGCGCCCATGGAACGCGGCGGCGGAACGCTCAATGTAGGAGAGCTCATTGACCTTACCGGTAAGGGAGTTTTGAGAGATCTCCGTTACGGTCTTGTTGGCGGCAAAGACGCCGAAAAGGACGTCAAAGAGGTGGTTACACTCGCGCGCACTCGATGCCCGTGCGGCAAGAGTGCATTCTGCGAGAGCCTCGGTAACTTCGGAAACCTCACCATCGGAAACCTCACCGTCAGTGGTCTCAGTGGTGAGATAACTGTTGACGAGCGGGTGGAGCGCCTGAGAGTCGACAAACGCGGAATCGCCGAGAAGCACGTGCGCGACAGGCTCAACCGCAGCATAGTTCACACGCAACTGGCGCGCGACACCGGCGTCCGCGAGGAAGGCTGCGCGAGCGCACACCGCCTCGCACGCGGCCTTGTATGCGTCGGAGAACTCGGAGGACTGGAAGACGACCGACTTCCAGGACGCAAGACGCGTGAGGGAAACAAAGGGAAGGGTGCTGGTGAGCACTCCCGACAACATCTCGCCGGCGACGGGGCTACAGGCATCGTCAGAAGTAAGACCAGCAACAAAGCTAGCCTCTTCAAAAACATCATCAAGAAGGGAGAACATCCGAGTGGCCGAGTCCTGGGGGTGGACAAACGCCGTAACAGGAACAAGGGCGAAAACAGGCTCAGATTCAGCCTCCATTCCACCTTCGGTGAGAGCTTGGAGACCCAACACCCTTCTATCAAACGCCGTCGCACGCTCTTCCAAAGCCCCCATGTACACCTCAATCCCTCTGTTTCTCATCGCACGAGATAACTCACCGTACTTCGGATCCATTGTCAAGAACAAACGGAAGCCCGGGTGCGGAACAACCGTTCTAGGCGTCCCGTCCTCCATCGCACACTCGTTAATCATCAAGGTCCCATTTGGCTCCAAGAGCGAGTTCAAACGGTCAAGCACCGACGGCGAACAGAGGTTAGCGTTATCGAGAATCAACCAGTCACCACGTTCGACCGCCGAGACCAAAAGCCCGTCAAACCACGCAAACTTGACGCTCTGCGCAGCGGCAAGCTGCCCATCGAGCGCCACACACTGCGCCGCGAGGTCCACAAGATCCATGTTGCCCGTAAGCTGGGAGAGGTGCTGCACCGCATGCGAAACGTCCGCAAAGTGTTCGGTGCCCACAGTGGACGAGACAAGCTTCAAGAGACGGAGGGCGTGACCCATGACGGTAGCGTCGGTTGCACCCTTCATATTGACGACGGTGAGGTCACGGAGCACGTGCGCGGTCGCACGGCAGAGTGCAGCAATGCCGCGCGCAACGTCCACCTGCTCGTACCCCCCAAGAATGTCCATGCTGTCCACGTCGCTGTTCATCGCAAACTCCACAACGTGCGCGCCGACAAGCGACGCGGTGAGGCGAACAAGCTCGGTCTTACCAGAGTTGGTTGGCCCCACGATAATCAATGGCCAGTTGCGATTGACACACATGAATGCCGACTCCATGAGTGCGGTGTTGCACTGCAACGGAACAAGGCGATGCGTCGCGGCGTGGGCGACAGAGCCTGCCCGTGCGACAATCTCGCGGCCAGCCTGTACGTAGTCCTGTCCGAGCGCAAAGTAGTTGTCGCGTGCCGGGAGCATGCCGAAAATACCCGCAAACAACTCGCGTGCGCGCGCGCGATCGCCAGTTGCGCGGAAGCGCTGCGCAATCACCACGTCCAAGAAGTCGCCCGGCACCTTTTCCGCCACGCTCGCGGAGCTGAACAAGTGCAACCAGCGGAGGGTATCTCTGAGGTTAAACTCCCATGGCCCACCAGACGAGCCCCAGGACCGCTTCACGACCACCTCCTGCTCGAGCGCGGCCATGAACGCAATCAACTTGTCGCAGGTGTCGGCCGCAATGTGGGGGAACATGTGGCGCGAAATCATGGACAAATCCTCCGGTGTCAACACGTCCATGTAGACAACAGAGAAACGATTCACGAACGACTTTGGCAACCCCTTTCTGCCACCACCCTGGTACTGCGGGTTCTGCGCCGCAAAGACGAGGAAGTTGGGGTGGCGCGCGAACGACTTGTTCAATTCGGGGATAAAAGCTTCCCCACGGTGATCCAAACACGCGTTAAGACCCTCAAGCACCGACTGTGACGCAAGGTTCATCTCGTCAAGCAATACCCACTCACCGCGCTGCATGGCGCGGAGGAACGGCGCATCGCGCCACGTAAACTCGCCCGCGCTGCCCCCCACGGATGGCGCGTCAGACCCGAAAAGATCGACCAAGTCGGTCTGCTCGGAGAGATTGATACGCGTGAGCGGGTTGCCGGTTGCTTCTGCGAGCGCGGAAACGAGCGACGTCTTACCCACACCCGGAGACCCCTCGAGGAGGATTGGCTTGCGCACCTGCATCGCACGGATCACGCGCATGGCGTTCGCGGCGGTGGTGGGCGCACGGAGGTTGAACGCAGCAGTGTCACGCGCCGCAGATGCACGCGCGATCGCAAACGAGCCGCAGGTGAGTGCATCACCGAGAGCGACCGCGGGGCGCGCGGCATACGCGGCAACCAAGTCCGCGCCCGCGAGCTCTGAGAGGCGCGCAACACACGCAAGCTTGTGCTCGCGGAGCTGGGCCTCGTTTTCCGCGAGGAATGCGGTGTTGTTGGTCCCGAGTGCGTCAATAAAGACCATTGCGGCACCGTGGAGGAGCGCGTGCGCGGCGGACAACGGCGCGCGCGCCTCGGCGTCGCACGTCGCGTTGACAAACGTCACCCACGCAAGAATGTCACGGAGCGAAATCACACCGTTGGTGGCGCTCCCGCCACCGTACCTGATGCCAAACCACTCGGAAAATGCCACAAGCGGCTCCGCAAGGTGCTGCGCCGCGCTCGCGAGCTTCGCCTCGACGATCTGGCGCACGTCCGCAAAGTCATCCATGGACGGCACCCAGATTTCGGTGAAACGGTTCCGCAAGGCCGGGGAAAGCTCCTTTTTACCATAGTCCCCACCGGGATTCATGGTGGCGAGGAACTCGAAGCCATCGGCCGCCGTGACAAAGGCGTCTTCCGTACCCTTTTCCGCAAGAAGAAGGCTTCGCTCGGGCTCGAGGACCGAGTTGAGACGCTCGAGAACGGAGTCGTCTGCAAGGGAGATTTCGTCGAGGAGGAAAAAGTCACCGGACTTGAGGGCTTGGACAAGGGGACCATCGTTCCATTCAAAGAGGATGTTTAGAGAACTTCTCAAAGCCTGAATGGAGGTGACGAGCAGAGCGAGGGAAGCTGGCGAAGCGGTAACCTCAGGACTAACCTCAAGGATAACCTCAGTGCCAGCCTCAGTGCTAGCTTCCGTCTCTGCGCTCATGTCAATCTCTGTACTGGTAGTGACCCACGCTTCTGGCTTTCTCGAGTCAAACACCCTCAACAACTCCTCCATCGACGCCTTCTCATCAAATGCAATGTCCCAAATAGTGAACAACTCCTGGAGCATCGCCCCGACCTTTGCCTGGACCTCGTTTCTGTTTCTCACCGGTCTCTGGGCCCCAAGGATGTCCCCGGTTTCCGTGTTCTGGTGAGCATTGATCGTCACCAACTGTTTCCCAACATACTCGGCGATCAACTGACAGACCGTGGTCTTACCACAGCCGGTCTCACCCACCAACAATATCGGCTCGTTGTTCTGCAAGGCAGTCTCGACCAAAACGGCCAAGCGGCGCATGGCCTTGGTCCAGACGACGGAGCTCTCAATGGCCATCAACTGGGAGTTTTCCAAGCCGTGGTAGTACTCATCCATGTCCAACTTGACCTTCATAACCTTCTCGATCGCCTGCTTCACCACGAGTTTCTCGTCGTCCTGGCGGACCCTCTCGGCGAGAAGCATGTAGCCATTCGCCGCGAGCTGTTCGTAGCCCACGGCTGGACGCATTGCCCAGCGGAACAAGTCACGGAGCGTAGCAAACGAGTTCTTCTTTTCAAAAAGACGGGAGGACTGGCGCTGCACCGACAACTGGCGGTAGACCTCGACAATGGTCTTACCGTAAGACGGGGCGATCTGGCACCGTTCCCTTAAAATCGTCTCCAACTCGTCCTGGGGGATGTCGTCAAAGTGCAACTCCAAGAAACGATTTCTGAACGCTCTGGAGAGAACCTTTCTGCCCCCGTAGAGGCCAGGCGGGTTTTGGGTCGCAAAGAGCATAAAGTCAGGGTGGGGGTGGACAACCTCCTGCGTCTCGGGGATGAATAACTCCCTGTTATCGTCGAGCAAACGGTTAAGAGCCTCAAGAACATCGGTTGGAGCGAGATTGAGCTCGTCCAAGACAATCCAATGGCCCTTGCGCAAAGCCTCGACCAAAACACCCTCCTTGAAGGACAACTTACCGGTGGAGTCCGACACGTACGTCCCGAGATACTCCTGAAGGTCTGTATGCTCGTGGTTATTGATACGCACAAACTTGTGGCCAGTAATGTTCGCGAGGTACTTAACCATGGAGGTTTTACCGGAAGAGGTTGGACCTTGGACCAAGACCGGGAAACGACGGCCGGCGGTTGCGCGCACAAGGTTGAGCATGTTCTTCTCGACAAACGGCGTGATAATGTAGTGTGGCTGCTCCTGGAGCTCCTCGGGACCGTGCTTCATCCAGTAGTGGCGGAACTGGACGTAGTCCGCAGCGTTGGCCGGGGGCGGTGGACATTGGGAGATGACTGCCTTTGCGTTCTTGAGGCGGCCAATCGTATACTTGGCAATTAAAGGCTGAAGGAGCTCTTCCGACTTGAGATCTAAGAGCGTGAGGAAAGACATGCAGAAACCTTCGTAGAGCGATCGACGAAGGCCGTAGATCGCCACAATGTCACGGACATAGATCAATGTGCGGGTGAGGGTTCTAATGGAAAAATGAGGCTTCTGGTTGGCACCATCGACAATCTGGTTGCTTTCGGCCAAAGCCTTCGCCTCAAGGTACAACTGCGCGACGTCGTTCCCAATCCACTCATCACCAACAGCGTGGCGAGAGACGTATTGATCAATGATGGCGAGCAAGTCGGAGATGTCGCGGTCAGGCGAATGGACGTAGACTTCGGAAAAGCGCGAGCGGATGCCTGGCGGAAGGTCCTTCTTACCCACATCAGTCGAAGGATTCATACAACCAAAGAGACGGAAGTCGGGGTGCGCACGGATGGACTCAACCTCACCCTTTTCCGAAAGAAGCACCGAGCGGTGGTCGGAAAGGAGGTCAGCAATGCTCTCAAGGGTGTCAGCTGAGGCCAAGTTGATCTCATCAAGTAACAACCAGCCGCCTTCGCGCACTGCCTTGATGAGGGACCCTTCGATGAAGTTGAACACGAAGGAGTTGTCCAAGGTGGAGGCGTGGATTTCAAACTGCTTCACCTGGGCCTGGAACTTGGTCCATTGCTCCATCAACTCAGACTTGTCCGAAGCCGAGAGCTTTCTCTTCTTGGCACTCTCAGCCTCCGGCGTCTCCTCCCGGAGCAAGACCTCACTTGCCATCTTGAACGCCTCACGCCACAACTTGGTCACGTTCTTCCACTGCTGTTTGTTGAAGCACTTGGAAAGAACGAGCGAGAACCTCTCGTTCCGCTTGCGGGAAAACGTAGCGATAAACAAGCCCTCAAACGTGTCCTGCAAGGGAACGGCAACGGTCTTGGTGTTGACCGGCTTGTAGCCACCCAAAAGGTCGCCTGTCTCCGTCTGTTGAGAGACGTTGATCACCGTGAGGTTCTTGTTCATAAACTTGGCCACCTGTTGGACGATGGTGGTCTTACCGGTACCGGTTTCACCCACGAGCAAAACCGACTCCACCATCGAAACAGCAACCCCTATCTGCTCCATGAGACGCACCGCGTGGTTGGTGCGGGCAAATGACGTTACATTTTCCGAGTGTTTCTTTTTGGTCAAAGCCGACGAGCTTTTGACAAGCCTGGCGCGGCCAATGTTGATGTGGTCTACAGCGTCCTGGAAGACGGGGACATGTTTCAGGAGGAAGAGCGATACTCTGGTTGCCGGGATCTCCAACGTTTCGCCCACCACGTTGATGACAAGCGACGCAGCGGTGGATTCGCAGAGGGAGGAAGAAAAGCAGTCGACGGCCTCGGCAAAAATGTTGTCGTAGACGGCGGCATCCACCAACTGGTCATGCTGGGTAACCCCCGCATGTGCGAGCAACGCATGCGCGCGTGTGCAGAACTTCATCAAGTCGCGGACGGAGATCACGCGCGGATGCGCGCCCTTGTTCAACGAGATGAATGATGGCAGCTGGTAAATCTCCTTGACCCGGTTAAACGCGGCAATGAAAAGCTTCACCAACAGCTGGAGAAGCGGGAAGCGCGTGGTGAGAATCGCATACAAGTCTGAGTCATCAGGCTGGGAAAGGGAGATCTGCTGCCACAAGCGGAGTCCAATGAGATCGGGCACCGTGGCACGGCGCGCATCGTCCGCCACACGGATCGTGGAGAGGAGTTGGAACCCGTTCGCGGCCTTTACAACCTCGCCGCGCGACGGAATCACCAATTCCCGCTTCTCTAAAAGTGTGAGGAGCACCGAAAGAACCTCCGTCGGCGCCTTGTCGATGTCCTCGATCAACACCCACCGACCCTCCTTCACGGCCGTGGTCAACACCCCGGCGCGCCACTCAAATGTCCCGGGTTTGTCGCCCGAGGTGTATGTCCCGAGCAAGAGCTTCGCGTCGGTCTGCTCGCCCAAATGGATCTTGACCACAGAGGCGGAACACGACATGTATTTTGCAAGCTCGTTGATGAGGAAGGTCTTACCGGCACCGGCCTTGCCCACAAGCATCACCGGTCTGTTGTTCTGGACGTTGTGCGCGAGCGCACGGAGTGCGGCTGTCGCTTTAATGGTTGGCACGAGCTCGATCTGTTCGGCCGCCTCGCGGTTGAGGTTGGGGACAAGAATCCCGCAGACGGAGGTCACCAACGGCGATAAAGCCGCGGGCTCAATGACTATGGTTTTACCGAGGAAGCTCTCGGGAGATGGTCCGAGCGCGCTGACGTTGGAAAGTCTTTTCGCCTCCAAGAGTGCAAGAAACCGGAAATCAACCGTGTCCCCCTCGTAGCTCCCCATGAGCTCGCCATCGCCGACATGGGTTGCGAGCATCTTCGTTCGCGCGGTCTCGGAGGCCGATAGGTATACGGCGAGGAGCTCTACTGCGAGGAGCTTTGCCACGCGGAGATTCGTCCGCTCGTGCTTGATCACGAGATACAATACGTCAGGGGAGATAAAAGCCTTGAACCGGTGCTGGTCAAAGCGGAAAATGCGGTACGTCGCGAGGAGCACGGCCTCTAATTCGGAGGCAGAAATAGCCTCAAGATTCATCTGGAGCGCGGTGAAGATGTTGGTTTGCCTGAGAAAGTGCTCCAAAAGCGTCAACACATCCGCAGAGAGCGAAACGAGCTTCGCCATGGCCTGGAGCACGAGGGAGCCGTGCACGGATGGAGTGGAGCCAAGCGCCTGGGCCTCCATGGAGGGATTGCTGACCCAGCGCGACACGAGATCGAGGAAAATTGGTCTGTAAGCGTGGAACGTGGCCATTGTGGCAGTAGGGTCCAAGGCAGCGGAGGCTAAGCGATTCAAATTTTCTCCAACCGACACAGAGCGGTCAAATGTGTAGAGCGCAGGGGTGCGCTTGAGCGCATAGTGTGCCACGTATGTGGCGTGCTGCGCTTGCACGCACGATACCGAAAGAACAACGTTGTTGTTCATTATATTCTAGATGTAACGGCGGAAATGGAATGAGATTGTGGAGTTGGAATTATTTTCAGATCCAATTTTTCATGTACAAATTTTCTCCTGCGTAGAATTTTTTTTTCCTTGTTGCTATTTTGGGGTTATCGTGCATGATGCGATGAGGTTACCCGGATTTTGGGAATGCATTGGAGCACACCAAGGTTGAACGTACGAGAGATTTGCCTGGATCGAGCGACTAGAGGCAGTATTTTATTAGTGGGGATAGTCCCTTAGCTTTTGTTGACTTTTTTATGTATGAATTGCGGCCGGCATGTTGATCGTGCCCCAAGGGGCAAGCATTCCGATTCTTCGTGTATTGGCACATGCATATGCATGACGAATGGACAGATCTAGATACCTGGGGGAAAGATGGTAGCCGTGGTGGATGGCCTGAGATACGTGGTTAATAAAGTATATATATCTCCAAGTTCCTATCCGAGTTGCTTTTCAGTTACGCTTATACTTTCATGACCGTATCTGTGGTACAGGCTTACTAGATAGACATGCATAGGGGTATACGTAAAATGAATATACGTACCCCGAGCCACCAAAGCTATGTAGTAGATACAGTTAGGGAGAGACTAGCAATAATGTAAGTGGGTACAGAGCAAGTATTTGGGATCAATATTGGGGCGTTTGAAAGTATAAGGTGGTACCGGATTTATTATGAAAACTGCAGTCCATACACGTTTTATTTTATATAGTGATAGGTATACATAGCAATAATTTTCGTTAATGTCCTAAATGTACTTGTTGGTGATACCCGTATTATACTTGTTATATATAAGAGTGCAGAATTAATAATAAATAAATTGTGTATAGAAGCATATATGCGTATACGTGTAATATATCTTAAATAATACCTTATACTATTAGTTGTATATTTCATATTCGTTGTAAATAATCGTATAATATAATAAAATAGCATGACATAGTAGTATTGTGTTGAAAATAGGAGGGGAAGGAAGAGTTTTTAACTAAATATAATTCTAACCTGCTTATTATATTCAGTAAACGTATAGTATTTTTATCTATGCCCATCCAGCCTTTGAGTCACTGGCCAGAGCACTTTGAGACGCCTCAGTCACGACGAGGTCGTGCTTCACACACATAATTAACCACGCACGACCACATAAATACATAGTGTTTTTGCGCTTCAGATCTGTTGGCAGCTGACAGCTACAATCGCTACAAGTATGGCTACCTTTTTGGATATCATCTGTCCTACAGTTAACAGCGGAGGGACATGCGTATTTCCTGGCTGCATTTTCAGACACGATAGTAGGGCTGCCACGGCGGAGGACCTCGCGAACTATAAGAGACGGAAGGTCGAGGGCCTTGAAAGCAGAGATGCTCAGCCCCAAGCTCCTTTTGAATCCGTCAGGATCGCCAAAGACGTTCTGTACCAGACCCTTCCACTCGAAATTCCCATTTTCCAGGACGAAACGTTCGAATTCCATCGAAGGAAGATGATTCGCAAGATGTCCAATCTTTTCCAGCAAAGGCAGTTTGATTACGACCCCATTCAAATAGAGGCAGATTTGGCATTGAAGGTTTTCTACAACTCGTACAACCATTGCATGAACAAATACCTTGATACGTTGGTTAAAGGAGGGAACAAACGGTACGTGTATGATTTGGATATGGAATATTCCAGGGTCCAGCGTCAGTTGAAAGCTGAGATAGCGACCGAGAGGAACTATTACCAGAGCACCCAGGTAGATGCTGCGGGGAAAGACCCGGGATCTAGCACTGAAGTGGAGGAAAAATCTGGGGTTCTGGCTTTGGAGGAACACGCGATCGGAAAGGAGACTGAGGAGGCTATCCCGAAGGAGATTGAAGAGGATGCTTCGAGAGGGATTGAGGAGGATGCTTTGAGAGGGATTGAGGAGGCTACTCCGGAGAAGACTGAGGAGGCTACTCCGGAGAAGACTGAGGAGTATACTACAAAAAAAACCGTGGATGCTCTCCCAATAGAAACCCATCCAACTCTAACCGAACCTATTTCTCTGCCGAAGATTTCACTGCCAGTGAAGGACATTCCATTGGCACCAATACCTGTTCACCCCAACGCCCCGGCGGTGACATCCCAGAGAGTACTCTTTATCCTGGAGATTTTAAAAGTGGTACGAGCGCAGTACCCGAGATACCGAACGCCGACTAGGTTGGCCTGCCAGAAGGAGTATGCCATCGCATCCACCACCTCCAACATCACCTACAGCAACACCATCAAAAAGTACATTTTCCGCTTGAAAAAAGGCCAAGAATCTTTAATGGATAGCAAGCCAAAGGCCCAAGAACCCCCTTCAGGCATGGTTGAGCGGTTGCAGAAGGTGGTTATTCCCGTTCCGACACTCCAACTGTACGGCTTCGTCACCGAAATTCCCGAGCCCCTCGCGGCTGATAAATCGCTTAGTTTCAAACACTGTGTGCGGTGCAACTCCAAATTCAACGTTCAAAACCAGTTGGTGCCCACCACCTGCCAGTTCCACCCCAAGAAACTGCATAGCCAGAAGGTGGAGCGGATGGCCGCGGACAACTTGGCCAAGACCTACGAATGCTGTGGCAACGGCCTCGACTCTATCGGATGTGTCGCAGCTCAGAACCATGTGTACAAGCCCGAAGACCCGAGGGAATTGCACCACCTCATTCCGTTCATCCGGGTGGACAGTTTTCCTGCAGCCAGGGCTAAGACGAGTAGCTTCAAGGCTTTGGGTGTGGACTGTGAAATGGGGTACACCTCATGGGGGTTTGAGGCGATCAGAGTCACGTTTGTGGATTATCTTACTGGGAAGACGGTGTACGATACGCTTGTAAAGCCCCAGGGGGAGGTCATTGATCTCAACTCCCAGTTTTCCGGTGTCTCACACATCCCACCGGGAACGGACTCCTTTGAGGAGGTTTTCAGGAACAAGATGTTCGAATACATGGACCAAAATACGATCTTGATCGGCCATGGGTTGGAGAACGATGTAAACGTGATGCGAATCATCCACGACAAGATTGTGGACACTTCGGTGTTGTACCCCAGGAACCTTACCGCCAGACGGTCCCGCCGCTCGTTGAAGCAATTGGCGTTCCAGTATTTGAGCAGAGTGATCCAGACGGGGGAGCATGACAGTAGCGAAGATGCCTTAGCGGCGATAGACATTGTTAAGTTCCACCTAGAAAAGAAATAGATCGATGGCGGGAAATATTGTCTGTATACCGGTCTAGAGTATTGCATAAGCTACAGAGAAGATTTATAACACCTAGTAGGCGATACGATCCCGAAAGAAATAAAATCGCCTGTAACATTCAAATTTTATAGAGGCTTTGCTGGGTACTAAGTACGAGATAAGTCGTTACTCACCCCCAAACGTTAATACGCACGTTCTTAGGATACTGTCATATGATATAATATAAGCTATTGACGTAACGATGGCAGCGAATTCCCATTTTATTTAATTAGCTTGCTACTCCAGCTGCAGTCATTTGTCGTTTTGGTAATTTGTGGACCAGTCTTAACGTATGCTGGTTTACTCTGTGCTATCACGTGATTAATCTTATCTCAAAATGACATCGGCCTGCATTTAAATTTTTGGGTCCATCTTGCTGAGCCACCTTTCAGGATCTTCCAGCTATCCAACCATGACTGATATACCCTTGGACTTTGAGGTTCCACACCTTATAGTAGAAGACGTGATTGATGCGCTCAATCGTGACCTCGTGGATGCGGACGCAGATGCAGTGCGCCACCGTGCATTGCGCCAGATGGTCGAGCTGCTCCGCCGGACGCGACAGCGCGAGGAGGAGCGCCAGATGCTCCAAGCGGTGCATGATAGAAGAGGCCGCTGGCAGGTCCGCAGTCCCTGGCGGATGTTGGGAGATGTCGTGTATCTCGTGTTTGTACCATATGTGTACTACAAGCTCGTAAAGCAGATTTACTCATACGTTCAGCTCCGACCGGAACTTCAGGTGGCGGAGGACAGTGCTTCTTTGCTTCGCAGCTCGTACAAATATATCTATCAGGCAAACGCCACGGCGCTGGTGTTTGGTGATGGGGTGGATATGGCGTACTTTGACGTGTTGTTGCGCATTGAGGAGGTTATCTTGAATGAGTTGCCTACGGCTCTCCGAGGGGAATGGCCCCAGAAACCGGTAACTGCGGGCGTGAAGGTTGCCACGTTGGCGATCTACATGGTGTATAACTGGAGTGTATCGCTATACGTGATGTTTGCTATGACGTTCTGCATCCTATGCTTTTCGATATTGATGGTGAACAAGTGGAAGGCAGTAGCGCGGTTTCTCTTTGTCGAGGTGTTGCTTAATAAGCCGCGGGAGGGCGACTTTGACTACCGTCCGACGACCAGGGGCGTATTTTAGAGGAAAAGCCGCAAGGGAGGGGCAATAATAACTAGAAGAGTCCACAACAGCAAGTGTCCAGGGTAACCGAGGAAAGCCACAAGGACCGAATCTACAGTTCCGTTGAAATCTACCACCGACCCTCCGGATGTTTGTGCAACGCTTGGGAACATGGACCGGGATGTATTTCGTGTCGGAAACAGATTGGCTTTCTCAGTTCAAGGCATCGCAATATATGGATTGAATCCTCCAGTCTGAGTTATGGACAGAATCATCGGTAATTTTCCGAAAAAGGTCGAGATTCCCTGATGATAAACCGACTTTCTGATTGCAATTTTTTGGGACCAGATGCACAGCCGATGCAACTAGAGGGCCTACAAGAATCTCAGACAATAGTCCACGTTTTAGCCAAATATTTAATTCCCAGCCAACACCGCAGCCTTAACAGATCGAACCATTTTTAATGAAGCTCTCTTTCTGGTAAAGGAGGTTGATGTAAAGAGGATCCCTTCCCAGTGGAGGAATACAGACTAGTAAATCCAGATCCAGGAGAACCATAGGTGAAACACTTATAGGCGTAATACCGTATGCATGTTTTTCGTGTCAGGGTTCCAGCGCCTGTTGGGATCCCAGCCAGGGAGTTGTAGTCAGTCATCTATTCACAAGATATTATCAAATTAATCCACTGATACAATCACGATCTTCCACAAGAATAAAAATACTTCTAAATTAAACTCATTTTCCATCCACCGGAAACCAACTTTTTATGGAGCCCTTTAGAACTTCAACCACGATGGTTCAATTCATCGGAATCGCCATCTGTGTTTCTATTCACCGAAATCACGATCCGCAGTTCCATCCATCAGGCTCACAGCCCGTGGTTCCATTTATAGTAAAATGTAACGTCAATGTAGTCTCGTAAAATACCACATCGATCTAGTCTCTAACTCCGATATCTCATGTACCGAGGCAACGTGGCCGAGCGGTTAAGGCGAAAGATTAGAAATCTTTTGGGCTCTGCCCGCGCAGGTTCGAGTCCTGCCGTTGTCGTTATCTTTTTGCCTTTTTGAGGTCAGTACGTTTGTAAAACCTTTGGCAGATATGGAATATTATTTCCCTCATTGCCCTTATCCAACGGGAGAGCTACAACATGATGGATTCGGAAAACACCCCGATTCGACTCTGAAATGCGTTAAAATTATCTTAAAGCGACAAATGACAGCTATCGCCTTTTGGAACACCGCAAAATCGGCAACTTCAATCCCTCAGTTTCTGAGGTAGCGCCACTAGACCATTTAACCCTGCTAGTATCTCGTCTGTTTCAGTCTTCCTCCGCTGTCAAACAATCCACGGGAAAAACCTAATGTCGTTTTCACCAGCCCTCGAGCAAGTCCCTGGCTACTACAGCCTTTTCTTATACAGCTTTTCTTATTCAACTTATATTAGTCAATAAGCCTATGGACATCTAGTTCTTACCGGTCTGGAAAGCCTTATGGAAGTCGGTCAAACAGTATCTGTATCTGGCATCACCATTGTCACACTTAGTCAAAATTTCGCTGACACCAGCTTCGGAGATAGGCACTTCCTCGATCCATGGAGTAACCCCCTTGCTCGCAGCCAACTCCAACATCTCGATGCATTCGGTACGGGAACCCAAAGCGGACGAGCTTATAGTGGAGCGGTTTCTGTAGAGATAGGCCGGAGAAATATTGAAGGATTCGTCAGATGGACCCATACCGACCGAGGTGAAGTTACCTCCAAACTTCATAACTGAGAGGAAAGAGTTCATGTTCAAGTTGGAGATCGAAGAGGCACAGTTCAAGATTAAATCAAAGGTGTGTTGGTGGGACTCGGCCCAGTCCTTTTCAGTGGTGGCAATGAAGCCATCGGCACCCAACTTCAAAGCGTCTTCCTTCTTGGAGGTACCACGGGAGATGGCGTAGACCTTGGTATAGCCCATAGCCTTGGCGAGCTGCAAGGCCATAGAACCCAATCCACCAATCCCAATGATACCAACAGTGACGTCCTTGTTAGCGTTGGTGGCACGGGCTTGGTCTAAGAATCTCTTCAACGGAGAGTAAACGGTCAAACCACCGCACATCAACGGAGCAGCATGTTCAGACTTGATGCCTTTTGGGATTGGGAAAACAAAGTGCTCGTGCACTCTGATGTGCGAGGCGTAACCACCCTGAGAGATGTAACCGTCTTCGTATTTGCCACCGTAGGTAAAGACCATCTTCTTACAGTACAGTTCGTTACCACTGTTACAACGATCACAGTCCAAACACGATTTGGACTGCGCGCCGACACCGACACGGTCGCCGAGCTTGTGGTTGGTGACTTTGGAACCGACCTTGACGACCTTACCGATGATTTCGTGACCCACGACAACGTTGCTGGGCATAAATGGCCAAGACCCCTTGGCGGTGTGGACATCAGATCCACAGATACCGCAACATTCGATCTCAACGTCGACATCATTGTCTTGGAAGGTCTTTGGTGGATAGGATGTGAGCTTAGGGTGGTTCCAGTTAGCCTTGTTCTCAGCGATGTAGCCTTGGAAAGTTTCAGGATAAGTAGACATGATTAGATGGTTTAATGGGAGATTTACAAGCAATGAAGCAGGGTGGTTTGGTCTTACGGATGCCACAGGCCTTTTATACAGTTGACAAGGATTTGATCTGAGCGAGTTTACGCTATAAGCAAGACCAACCCTGTTACTGAGTGAAGTAAAAGAGGGGGGACATGTTCTAGACGGCGTTTCGCCTACTTGGATGCAGGTCCGGAAGATGCCTTGTGTATTAACTCCGGT